TACAAGTATAAAGAGGGGTTCCTGCAGATGCAGGAATGCCCCGAATTGCACCCTTCTCGACCAGGCCGGGGTTTAGGGTTAGGGTTTTAGTGAAAGTGAAAAATTATTCCTTAGTGGTTAATTTTCTCGAAATGTAAAGGCACAACCTAGATTCTTAAGCCAGTGTCTTAAGGAGTTGAACGTGTTATTATTCCAACCTCGTGAAAGTGACGAACTGTACATTTTTTTGTCAAAAATAACTTTATATCTAAGGAGTGCCTTTGATTTGACGACCAGCATGAGTTTAGGTAGCCAAAGTCATCATGACGTCGCCTACAAGTGTGATCGGGGATTTCTATTGGAGAAGCAGTTTCCGCCCATCTTCATACAGAAGCAGTTTCCGCCCATCTTCATACAGATAGAACAAGATGCCAGATGTTATACCCTGATGTATAAATCTAAAGCATTCGTTTGGAATTTCCACTCCCCACTAAATATGGTGAGGAGAGGAAAGCCAAATGGCCGGTTTCAGTCAAGTATGGGCAAATAAATTAGAAAAGGAAGAGATAAGAATCCCAGCGGGAAATTACTGGAGAAACGTATAACGCTCCGCCCAGCAGACTGTTGACCAATCGTGTTCACGTTGTTATGCAGCGTCACGCGGTTGCTAAGGAAATGATCACGCAATCCATTCTAATAGTCAGGGTGTGAGTCGAAGAAGCTGCAGCCCAATATGGCGACCGGACTATGGGCGAGTAGGCGTGTGGAAAGGAGTGGGTGTACGGAAAGCGAATCAGCTAATTGGGCAGATTTGTTGCCACTCAAGACCGTTTCGAGTGGCTGATTGGGATGCACAAACATCCCAAAAGAGATGTCCACATGGCTACAGTAGGCTAGCCAAGACGAATGCTAAAGTGTATTTTGCTCACTATCAACAGTAGCCAGCATATTGCTAGTATGTTCTCTATTGAAGGTTTTACTTTTGTAAATCACTTTCTCTGAAATAAATAAGCTCAGTGAGTAGAAGGATGGGCTCTTAACTTCTCAGTCTTGTATAACCACCATCAAGATGTAGACCGAAGAGCGCGTCCTGTTTAGTCTTAGTTCCGTAACTTACTTAGGCCTAGATTTCAATATAAATATAGGCTACCGTATCAATCAATCAATCAATCAATCATTCGTTCATGCCATAATAATAATAATATGCCATTTAGCAGACGCTTTTATCCAAAGCGACTTACAGTCATGCGTGCATACATTATTTTTTTTTTTGTGTATTGGTGGTCCCGGGGATCGAACCCACTACCCTGGCGTTACAAGCGCCGTGCTCTACCAGCTGAGCTACAGAGGACCACAGAGGCCATCACACAGCATATGAGACATTCATGCTTTGAAATGCAATCAAGCATTTTAGTTTTAAAATTGACCAAAGGACACATTTCCACCGGTCTAATGTCCATTGCTCGTGTTTCTTGGACCAAGCAAGTCTCTTCTTCTTATTGGTGTCCTTTAGTAGTGGTCTCTTGGCAGCAATTCGACCATGAAGGCCTGATTCACACATTCTCCTCACAGTTGATGTTGAGATGTGTCTGTTACTTGAACTCTGTGAAGCATTTATTTGGGCTGCAATTTCTGAGGCTGGTAACTCTAATGAACTTTCCTCTGCAGCAGAGGTAACTCTGGGTCTTCCTTTCCTGTGGCGGTCCCCATGAGAGCCAGTTTCGTCACAGCACTTGATGGATTTTGCGACAGCACTCGAAGAAACTTTCAAAGTTCTTTGACCACTTTCGTGGTCCTCTGTAGCTCAATTGGTAGAGCATGGCGCTAGTAACGGCAGTGTAGTGGGTTCGATCCCTGGGACCACCCATACGTAAAAATGTATGCACACATGACTGTAAGTCACTTCGGATAAAAGCGTCTGCTAAATGGCTTATTATTATTATTATTATTATTATTATAAATGTTCCGTATTGACTGACCTTCATGTCTTAAAGTAATGATTGACTGTCGTTTCTCTTTCTTATTTGAGCTGTTCTTGCCATAATATGGACTTGGTCTTTTACCAAATAGGGCTACCTTCTGTTTACCACCCCTACCTTGTCACAACACAACTGATTGGCTCAAACGCATTAAGAAAGAAATAAATTCCACAAATTAACTTTTAAGGCACACCTGTTAATTGAAATGGTGACTACCCCATGAAGCTGGTTGAGAGAATGCCAAGCGTGTGCAAAGCTGTCATCAAGGCGAAGGGTGACTATTTGAAGAATCTGAAATATAAAATATATTTTGATTTGTTTAACAGTTTTTAGGTTACTACATGATTCCATATGTGTTATTTCATAGTTTTGATGTCTTCAATATTATTCTACAATGTAGAAAATAGTAAAAGTAACGAAAAACCCTTGAATGAGTAGGTGTGTCCAAACTTTTGACCGGTAGTGTATATATGTTTTTAGTCTGCTGTAATAAAGGCTTATATATATATATATATATAAATCTCGTTAGAACAGACTCTCTGGTACACTTATTTATTTATTGTTGTTTACACTGTTCCAAATGGTCAGAAATTATATTGTAATCTAACACAAACGTTTTGGCACACATAATATTCACGCAACGCTTGCTCATATACCCTCCTTTTTCTTGATCTCCAGTAGTTTCCACAACTAAGTCAAATGTCTTTCCACAGACCTGACTTTCCCTTTCCCTCCTGAGCAACCAGTAAATATTCGCCCGTTTTGAGTTTATTTTCCTCGTCCTCCGCACCCATTTTGCTGTCACGCGTTACTGTGTTCGAAGTTTGTTATAACCAATTTATTGATGAGATTATGATAGGCTATAGGTCAGGCCCTATTGGTCACATCAGCGTTTCCGCTGCGCTCATTTTTGCTTTGGTGCTGCGCCACGGCAAAAATCATTGCCGCCACGCAACAACAAAAAATATGGAACATGGAAAAAATATTACTGCTGAGGCGAATTCGGAAGATGCTAGAACATTCCACATGTACTTTTCCTCTGCAAACAAAATGAGTAAATAATAGAAAAATCTAACAACCACTTAGTAGAATAGTTGATCTATTTACCTAGTTGGCTTGTTGTGTTCTATGCTAGATAAATATTCAGCTCGTGGAGTATTCATATTATAATTGCCATAGGGAGGGAAACATGCATTCTGACAATCAGTCAATGCACAACAATTCTTGCAATCGCGAAAACAGCAGTTTTTAATGTTGTTTTTTTTGTTAAAATGAGGGGAATCCCAGCTTTCCATTACTACTTTATTTATTTCTCAACTCCTAAATATGCGCGAACTGCGCCATTTTTAAACCCAGGGTTTTTAGCAGGAGCATGGTGAAACACTTTGACTGCTCCGCAATTCGCAGTGAGTGCATTAGGGGAGAGTGGGGCTCAATGTAACATCGGTCAATTGTAGTGTGACTTGGGGTACAATGCCTCTCTACCTCAATCATTTATTTGGAATTACTTAAACAATTGTGATGAGACATTAATATTTTTTGTTGAGCAAGAGTAGTGGAAACCAGGGAAAGTGTTGAGGGGGAAAATTGTGACGTGAAGAGGTTTCTGTGAGAAGTACAGGCAGGGGTATTTTACCCCGGGTGGCGAGTTACCCCGAGTTACCCTAACAGGTAGGCGAGTTACCCCGAGTTACCCTAACAGGTAGGCGAGTTACCCCGAGTTACCCTAACAGGTAGGCGAGTTACCCCGAGTTACCCTAACAGGTAGGCGAGTTACCCCGAGTTACCCTAACAGGTAGGCGAGTTACCCCGAGTTACCCTAACAGGTAGGCGAGTTACCCCGAGTTACCCTAACAGGTAGGCGAGTTACCCCGAGTTACCCTAACAGGTAGGCGAGTTACCCCGAGTTACCCTAACAGGTAGGCGAGTTACCCCGAGTTACCCTAACAGGTAGGCGAGTTACTCCGAGTTACCCTAACAGGTAGGCGAGTTACCCCGAGTTACCCTCCAGGGGTTACCTAACAGGTAGGCGAGTTACCCCGAGTTACCCTAACAGGTAGGCGAGTTACCCCGAGTTACCCTAACAGGTAGGCGAGTTACCCCGAGTTACCCTAACAGGTAGGCGAGTTACCCCGAGTTACCCTAACAGGTAGGCGAGTTACCCCGAGTTACCCTAACAGGTAGGCGAGTTACCCCGAGTTACCCTAACAGGTAGGCGAGTTACCCCGAGTTACCCTAACAGGTAGGCGAGTTACCCCGAGTTACCCTAACAGGTAGGCGAGTTACCCCGAGTTACCCTAACAGGTAGGCGAGTTACCCCGAGTTACCCTAACAGGTAGGCGAGTTACCCCGAGTTACCCTAACAGGTAGGCCTACGTTATATTCAGTGTTTATGAACGTTTTCTGGGGACATAAAATGAATAAATATGGTAATAACTAGTTCAAAGGTTACATTTAAGATCTGGCCAATGATTAGCCCAATAGGGTAAATGCAGATATGCAACCCCATGCTTCAGCCTATTTATTTGCACTTTGCTGCATCAGTTGGTCTAAAGGTGATAATGTTTATTGCTAATAGCATACCTGATAATATGGACCATGCACAGGCTATATAATGTACATGGCCCAAACCATTGATTAGCCCCGTGCACAGGCTACCATGCCAGTCCAAACTATGTCATCAGCTCGCTAGGCCAGAGGTGCTCCCCTCTGTTCTACCGCGCACACAGATTCCGCTAAATTATAAAACGATAATGCTGGTTACGTCCCAAGTAGCATCCTATTTCCTACATCAGGGCTGCCCAATCCTGGTCCTGGAGGGCCGAAACACTTTTGCTTTTTGTTTCTACTGGTAGTTAATTGCACTCACCTGGTGTCCCAGGTCTGAATTAGTTCCTGATTTAGAAAGAGAGCATGAAAACCGGCCCTCCAGGATCAGGATTGGGCTGCCCAGCTCTACACGGTGCACTATGTAAAGGAAGTGCGCTCTGTGTTAGTTGAAATCTACCATGCCTAAGTGTGGTTTCCATCTGTCCTCCAGAGGGAGAGCTCAGCGTGCTGGACGACATCCTCACCGAGGCCCCTGATCAGGACGACGAGCTCTACAACCCGGAGAGTGAACACCGCGTCAACCAGAAAAAAGGTACTTTTACCACACAGTTCTGTGAATCGACAGATTTAAAAGCCTATATTGTCTGAGTCTGTTCATGCTAAATCCACTCATTGTCATCATCCCGGTTTGCAGTAGAGTTGACGAGCAGTTTAATAAGGGTGCACACGTTAAAAAAACAAGTTGTTTCTTTCTTCTTATTTATTTGATTGAATTCGGTGTCGAAGCCAGTCCCAAACAGACCAGGTTACATATTGGCCTTGATATTGAAGATGAATATGGCTTTTCCCCCTCCAGGGTCTAAGAGGAAGAACGACCGAGGGGATAACCACGAGCTGAAGCGTCTGCGGCCCTCGGCTCACACCACCACAAGACAGGCCACTAAGAGATCTGCCCCCTCGGCTGGGGCCAGCGGGAAGAAGCCTGTCAACCCCAGGCGGGGACGGCACCCCTCCGAGTACAGGACTGAAGATTACTACGAGGACAGGAAGACCCATCCTATGAGAGATCCTCCCAAAACAGCCCAGCCTGACAAGCCCCTGGGCCGCAGGAGAGAGCCAGACAGACAGAGGATCAAGCCCCTCATGCCTGAGCTCACCACAGAGGTAGGAGCAGCTTTATTAAAGATCACAGGGGGAAATCACTTTAGCTATAGCTGCAGGGCTGTTCAAATCTGGTCCTGGTGGGCATGAATTAGATATTTACAGTCACCTGGTGTCCCCGGTGTGAGGGAGAGGATGAAAGCCAGAAGTGCTTTGTCACTCCAGGATTGCCGTTGAACAGCACATGGTATGTAACTTAATCCAAGGCACCTATTGTTTCCGTCCCAAAATCAAGTGGCTAGGTTAGGCTTGGGCGGTATACCGTATACCGGGGTATTTTGAAATAGCCACAGGGTAGTATTTCAATACCGTTAACTATTCCTTTGAAGTTTTTCAATACGTTTTTAATATTTGTAGCAAATAGTTTTAAGTAAATACCTGCAGTTAACTTGTTCAATACGTCAGGAGATGAAGCAGATCGCGTTCTTCATTTCACCCGTCACATTATTTTACATTATGAAGCTTACTTAGTTCCCCAGCACAGCTGAGCCAGTCAGGTGTTTGTTTGTAAATGAAACAACAGGAGAGAGCGGGAGCAGGTGAATCCAGCTGTGTGTTGACAGGGGTCGCGTTTTATATTGAAAGTCAAGTGTTTTTTTTTGCGTCAACAGAGTGATCAGGGATGTGCAACTACAGTTTTCCTTCACAGAAAATACATTAATGCAACACATTCGTCAGAAAATAGCTTCATTTTCATCAGATGACAACAGAGGTGCAATGCTATTTGGCTAGCAGCCACACGAGTAAATGGGCTTAAAATGAAAAAATGCAAGGTATTTTTGGCAAAAACTATGCATGGCCATCATATTTCTAATGTTTAGGCCTATCATAGAAAGAATGTAGCCAGCTACATGTCCCAATGTTTTGCTTAAAGTTAATCTTGCATTTTACTGTAGTCTGGCTACACCAAGAAAAGTACTGGAGAAAAGTAGTCTGGCTACACCAAGAAAAGTACTGGAGAAAAGTAGTCTGGCTACACCAAGAAAAGTACCGGAGAAAAGTAGTCTGGCTACACCAAGAAAAGTACCGGAGAAAAGTAGTCTGGCTACACCAAGAAAAGTACCAGAGAAAAGTAGTCTGGCTACACCCAAGAAAAGTACCGGAGAAAAGTAGTCTGGCTACACCAAGAAAAGTACCGGAGAAAAGTAGTCTGGCTACACCAAGAAAAGTACCGGAGAAAAGTAGTCTGGCTACACCAAGAAAAGTACCGGAGAAAAGTAGCTAGACATCAGTCAGAGCTGTCTGCTGATAAAACGACCATTCCTGAATTCTCATCTGAGTTCAGAAGTGCAACTGAAGCACAGAATTAGTCTGATGCCGAACAGAAATGACAATAGGAAGCATTTTAGATCTATGTTTACGAAATATATTTCTTTAGGTGTTTTTATATATATTTTTTCCTGCGTGAAAATATGTGTTAACACGACCCCTAGTTTAACTTACTAAGTGGCTGAATTAAGAGGCACATCTGCTGCTCCCCCTCGACTGCTCCGCCCGTTGCCCTAGCGACACCAGACTCCACACAGACACGGCGTGTAGACATGCTCCCATTGCCCTAGCAACAGAGCCATTACTGCATGCGTCAAAACGTTGTTCATTTGCACAATGCCTCTAATTCACCTTCGCTTGTAAATGTCCAAACCAAAAATAACATTCGATAGCTTCTACCTAATATATGTATAACTTTATGAGCTGGATTGCCTGTCTTTGCAATTGGTAATTTTTCGTTTGCGTTCGTTAGCATATTTAGCTAGCAGCCTCCATGGAAATTCGCTGTTACTTGTGCTAATTATGTTAGCATTCTGGTAATAGACAGCCAATGGGCTTTTTTTTGTTGTTGCATTTTCTGGTGCCCCCTTGTGTACTAAGCAGGTAATACCGTAAATCCCGTGGTGAGAGGAGGACAGTATGACGATATGAAAATCTGGAGACCGCCCAACCCTAGTCTAGGCCTACTTGTAACAAGTATGTTCCTATGTTGTGTGCAGGATTGGGGAGTAACGTATTACAAAAAACAACAACCTGTAATCCGTTATGTTACCATCTAAAATATTGTAATCAGATTAGATACTTTTGAAAAACTAGATGATTACTTCAGAAAGGATGTTTGCGTAAAAAAATATTAGTTTTCTCAATGACATTCAAATCAACATTGAAAAAAGTTTTAAGTTTGTTCTGCCAGAGCGAGTCTGACCGCAAGTCAGAGACCACTATGATGACTCACCAATCAGAGCACTATGATGACAAACCAAATGATGACGACACACCAAATGATGACCACCAATCAGAGACCACTATGATGACACACCAAATGCGTTTGATGGATTGCAGGAAAAAAGCAGGAATAGGCTTTGTAGGCTACAGACCAAGTTATGTATTCTAGTGGTGTGACTGCTGTCGGCATCTAAAGATTATACATCAAACTTGGATAAACGCATGGAGCTAAGTTTTAATGTCACATGCACAAGTACAGTGAAATGCCTTTCTTGCAAGCTGTAAACCCAACAATGCAGTAATCAATAACAATGTAATACTAAAAAAATAACAAGATAGAACAAAAACACACAAGAAATAAGAAGAACATGAGAAAGTAAGAATCTAAATACAGGGTCAGTTCCAGTACCATATTAACAATGTGCAGGGATACTGTAGTGATAGAGGTAGATATGTATAGGGGTAAGGGGACTATATACAGGGTCAGGGTCACTATATGTTGGGTTTGTGCCAGACATAGCGTTTCCTTGATGGCAAAAAAGCTTCATTTTAGTCTCATCTCACCAGAGTACCTTCTTCCATATGTTTGGGGAGTCTCCCACTTGCCTTTTGGCTAACACCAAATGTGTGGAGCTTTGCAGCTCCTTCAGGGTTATCTTTGGTGTCTTTGTTGCCTCTCTGATTAATGCCCTCCTTGCCTGGTCTGTGAGTTTTGGTGGGCGGCCCTCTCTTGGCAGGTTTGTTGCGGTGCCATATTCTTTCAATTTTTGGATTTAATGGTGCTCCGTGGGATGTTCAAAGTTTCTGATATTTTTTTATAACCCAACACTGATCTGTACTTCTCCACAACTTTGTCCCTGACCTGTTTGGAGAGCTCCTTGGTCTTCATGGTGCCGCTTGCTTGGTGGTGCTCCCTGCTTAGTGGTGTTGCAGACTCTGGGGCCTTTCAGAACAGGTGTATATGTGACAGATCATGTGACACTTAGATTGCACACAGGTGGACTTTATTTAACTAATTATGTGACTTCTGAAGGTAATTGGTTGCACCAGATCTTGTGAATACCTACGCACGCACCACTTCCGTTATTAGTTATTTAGAATTTATTAAAGTTAATTAAAGTTAATAAAGTATTTTTTTCATTCCACTTCACCAATTTGGACTATTTTGTGCATGTCCATTACATGAAATCCAAATAAAAAATAATAAATAAAAAGCCATTTTAAATTACAGGTTGTAATGCAACAAAATAGGAAAAACGCCAAGGGGGATGAATACTTTTGCAAGGCACTGTATTATGTGTGTGTGCGCGAATGATGGAGTAAGTGTGTGTCGGGGTGTGAATCTGTAGGGCCCTGCGTTACAGTGCATAAAGACAGTGCAAAAATGGTCAACTCAGTCTGTTTAGCCATTTAGTTAGCTATTTAGCAGTCTTATGAAGCAAATGCTAAATGGCATATTATATTATTTATGGCTTGGGGATAGAAGCTGTTCGGGAGCCTGTTGGTGTCAGACTTGATGCACCGCTTGCGAAAGAAGAGAACAGTCTATGACATGGGAGGCTGGAGTCTTAACAATTCTCTGGGCCTTATTTTCACACAACCTGATGGGAGGGAGCTCGGCCCCAGTGATGAACTGGGCTGTTCAGCACCAACCTCTGTAGCGCCATGCGATAGAGGGCGGTGCTGTTGCCATACCAGGCGGTGATGCAGCCAGTCGAGATGCTCTCAATGGTGCAGCTGGATAACTTTTTGAGGGCCCAAACCTTTTCAACCTTCTGAGTGGGGAAGAGGCGCCGTGTGTGGACCATTTTTAAGTCCTTAGTGATTTGGACACCGAGGAACTTGGAAGCTCTCGACCTGCTCCACTGCAGCCCCGTCGACGTGGATGGGGGTGTGCTCGCCCCCCCCTTTTATAGTCCACGATCAGCTCCTTGACGTTGAGGGAGAGGCTGTTGTTCCAGCTCCCTGTAGGCCAGCGTTTCAAATAATCAAAGCTTGATGATTAGTTGATTTTTATTTGAATCAGCTGTGTAGTGCTAGGGCAAAAAACCAAAACGTGCACCCCTTGAGGTCCCCAGGACAGAGTTTTGGGAAATGCTGCTGTAGGCTGTCTCATCGTTGTTGGTGATCAGGCCTACCACCGTTGTGTCGTCAGCAAACTTGATGGTGTTGGAGTCGTGCGCGGCCACGCAGTCGCGGGTGAACAGGGAGTACAGGAGGGGACTATGCACACACCCCATTTGTATTTATTAAGGATCCCCATTAGCTGCTGCCAAGTCAGCAGCTACTCTTCCTGGGGTCCAGCAAAATTAAGGCAGTTCATACAATTTTAGTACAATACATTCACAGATTTCACAACACACTGTGTGCCCTCAGGCCCATACTCCACTACCACATATCTACAGTACAAAATCATGTGTACATATGTGTATAGTGCGTATGTTATCGTGTGTGTGTGTCTGCATGTGTCTGTGCCTATGTTTGTGTTGCTTCACAGTCCCCGCAGTTACCTGATGTGGAATAGAGTTCCATGTAGTCATGGCTCTATGTAGTACTGTGCGCCTCCCATAGTCTGTTCTGGACTTGGGGACTGTGAAGAGACCTCTGGTGGCATGTCTTGTGGGGTATGCATGGGTGTCCGAGCTGTGTGCTAGTTGTTTAAACAGACAGCTCGGTGCATTCAACATGTTAATACCTCTCATAAATACAAGTAGTGATGAAGTCAATCTCTCCTCCACTTTGAGCCAGGAGAGATTGACATGCATATTATTAATATTAGCTCTCTGTGTACATCCATGGGCCAGCTGTGCTGCCCTGTTCTGAGCCAATTGCAAGTCCTTTTTTGTGGCACCTGACCACACAACTGAACAGTAGTCCAGGTGCGACAAAACTAGGGCCTGTAGGACCTGCCTTGTTGATAGTGCTGTTAAGAAGGTAGAGCAGCACTTTATTATAGACAGACTTCTCCCCATCCTAGCTGCTGTTGTATCAATATGTTTTGACCATGGAAGTTTACAATCCAGGGTTACTCCAAGCAGTTTAGACACCTTAAAACTTGTTTTTCAGCCACTCCACAAATTTCTTGTTAACAGACTATAGTTTTGGCAAGTGCATGACACAAGTAATTTTTCCAACAATTGTTTACAGACAGATTATTTCACTTATAATTCACTGTATCACAATTCCAGTGGGTCTGAAGTTTACATACACTAAGATGACTGTGCCTAAGATGTCATGGCTTTAGAAGCTTCTGATAGGCTAATTGACATCATTTGAGTCAATTGGAGGTGTACCTGTGGATGTATTTCAAGGCCTACCTTCAAACTCAGTGCCTCTTTGCTTGACATCATGGGAAAATCAAAAGAAATCAGCCAAGAAAAATGGTAGACCTCCACAAGTCTGGTTCATCCTTGGGAGCAATTTCCAAACGCCTGAAGGTACCACGTTCATCTGTACAAACAATAGTACGCAAGTATAAACACCATGGGACCACGCAGCCGTCATGCCGCTCAGAAAGGAGACGTGTTCTGTCTCCTAGAGATGAACGTACTTTGGTGCAAAAAGTGCAAATCAATCCCAGAACAACAGCAAAGGACCTTGTGAAGATGCTGGAGGAAACAGGTACAAAAGTATCTATATTCACAGTAAAACGAGTCCTATATCGACATAAACCTGAATGGCCGCTCAGCAAGGAAGAAGCCACTGCTCCAAAACCGCCATAAAAAAGCCAGACTACGGTTTGCAACGGCACCTGGGGACAAAGATCGTACTTTTTGGAGAAATGTCCTCTGGTCTGATGAAACAAAAGTAGAACCTTTTGGCCATAATGACCATCGTTATGTTTGGAGGAAAAAGGGGGTTGCTTGTAAGCCGAAGAACACCATCCCAACCGTGAAGCACGGGGGTGGCAGCATCATGCTGTGGGGGTGCTTTGCTGCAGGAAGGACTGGTGAACTTCACAAAATTGATGGCATCATGACGAAGGAAAATTATGTGGATATATTGAAGCAACATCTCAAGACATCAGTCAGGAAGTTAAAGCTTGGTCGCAAATGGGTCTTCCAAATGGACAACGACCCCAAGCATACTTCCAAAGTTGTGGCAAAATGGCTTAAGGACAACAAAGTCAAGGTATTGGAGTGGCCATCACAAAGCCCTGACCTCAATCCTATAGAACATTTGTGGGCAGAACTGAAAAAGTGTGTGCGAGCAAGGAGGCCTACAAACCTGACTCAGTTACACCAGCTCTGTCAGGAGGAATGGGCCAAAATTCACCCAACTTATTGTGGGAAGCTTGTGGAAGGCTACCCAAAACGTTTGACCCAAGTTAAACAATTTAAATGCAATGCTACCAAATACTAATAGAGTGTATGTAAACTTCTGACCCACTGGGAATGTGATGAAAGAAATGAAAGCTGAAATAAATCATTCTCTCTACTATTATTCTGACATTTCACATTCTTAAAATAAAGTGGTGATCCTAACTGACCTAAGAAAGGGATTTTTTTTTTACTAGGATTAAATGTCAGGAATTGTGAAAAACGGAGTTTAAATGTATTTGGCTAAGGTGTATGTAAACTTCCGACTTCAACTGTATGTATGCTTGCTTGCTTGTTTGCTTGTGGGTAGAATAACAGTGGTCTATGACTTTATCGCCCCTAGTGGCGAAGGAGACGTGTTGATAGAAATTCTGCATCATGTGCCTTAATGACGCAGAATTAAAATCACTGGCAACAAGGAAGTCAGCCTCTGGTACGTTTTCCTGCTTGTTTATAGCCTCGTACAGTTAATTAAGTGCCAGCTTGTTATATTTCTTGTCCTGAGGTGGAATGTGTGTGTGTGTATGTATATGTGTGTGTATATATATATATATAGAACAGTCACGATAACAGCTGAAAACTCTTGCAGATGAAGCCAGAATTGAAGTAACTGCCAGATCAAAAGTTATTGTTGGTTGTAAGAAATTAGATACATTTTGAATGAATAATGTCTGACAATACCTCTTTTATTCTATACATTTTGCTAGAATTTTGCATCGCCACACTGACGTGTAAGAGGCCTCCAATTTTTTTAATGGACTGGATCTTTATATTTCCCACTTGTATCCTGTTTCAGTAATAATGAAATCAGACCTTCTTCTTGAGTGTCTGATAATCTACCATTTACATAGGAGTGGTTAAAACATGCTAATAACGGTCCTCTGAGTATATCAAAAAAGGTTTGGTATACCTCGACTGGTATGCCATCCAACCCTGGAGTTTTCCCAGAGGCGGCAGTTGATGTGTTCAGAGGGTCCCTGGTTCGAGCCCAGGACGAGGAGAGGGACGGAAGCGACACAAACCAACAAGGCACTACAGTAATACTGCAAAAAATGTGGCAACGCAATTAACACTTTGTATTCAGGACAGAAAGTTATGTTTGGGGCAAATCCAATACAACACATTACTGAGTTCCACTCTCCATATTTGCAAGCATAGTGGTGGCTGCATCATGTTATGGGTATGCTTGTAATCTTTATAGAACTGGGGAGTTTTGCAGGATAAAAAAAAAATACAGAATGGAGCTAAGCACAGGCAAAATCCTAGAGGAAAACCTGGTTCAGTCTGCTTTCCACCAGACACTGGGAGACAAATTCACCTTTCAGCAGGACAATAATCTTAAAAAACAAGGTCAAATCTACACTAGCATTGCTTACCTAGAAGACCGAGTTACAGTTTTGACTTAAATCTACTTGAAAACAAAACATAAAGTCAAAAAATACAACAGAAAATATATATACAGTGTGTGCAAATGTAGCAAGTTATGAAGGTAAGGCAATAAATAGGCTATAGTGCAAAATAATTACAATTAGTATTAAGTATTCACATTATGAGTTCGGGTAATCCAAAAGTTACGTTACTGATTACAATTTTGGACTGGTAATTAATAACTGTAACAGATTACATTTAGAAAGTAACCTACCCAACCCTGGTTGTGTAACTCTGAAGCCCTATGTCGTACATCCCAAGTAGTGCACTACTTTAGACCAGAGCCCTATGACACCCTATTCCCTATGTAGTGCACTACTTTAGACCCAGAGCCCTATGACACCCTATTCCCTATGTAGTGCACTACTTTAGACCCAGAGCCCTATGACACCCTATTCCCTATGTAGTGCACTACTTTAGACCCAGAGCCCTATGACACCCTATTCCCTATGTAGTGCACTACTTTAGACCAGAGCACTATGGGCCATTTGGGATGCAACTAGGATATGCGCAACAGAGTCAAAGGTAGAGGCCATGGTCAAAGGTAGTGCACTATATATGGAATAGGGTGTCATTTGGGATGGGGGTTAAAAATAATTTCACTATTTGAGTAGTATCATTCATTTTTTTTCCCGGATATACGTGTTTAAAAAAATAAAAATAAACCTGAGCACTACTGCGCGAGGGAGGGTACGCTGGTGTTCTCGCTGCAGATGAGGGGGCCGCTGCGTGTGAGATGGTAGCGAGCAGACAGTACGGCTAAGACTAGCTAGCATGTAGCAGGCCACAATGTTATTCATCATCCCATAAAACAAGTGTCCATCTTGACTGGAGTAGCCTAGAGGAGCTAGCCAGCTATAGCTAGCCAGGCTAATTGAGGCTACATGCTACGCCTTCTCCACCACCCCATTCAGATAAAACAACAGTCTACTTATTCCGTCTTTCATTGCATTTTAGTGAACTCTCACTCCACTTGCTACACGTTGAGCATCGGGTGCCGCTTTGATTGGACGACCAACAGGCTACGCACGTGAAGGCCACCAGTTCAACTACCGGGCTTTTTATGGAGTGCACGTCGTAAAAACTATAGGCTGCGTTGAAACGTTTGTTGTTTTTATTAAATTAATAGTTTGAAATGTCATGCTATATCCTTGTGTGTAACAATGTCACATATTTTTAATTTAGAAATGCCTTTTCAGTGTTAAAATAGGCCTATAGGAAAGTTAGCCTACAAAGATGGAAGCTACCGGTATCTTAATAATATAATAATAATAATATGCCATTTAGCAGACGCTTTTATCCAAAGCGACTTACAGTCATGAGTGCATACATTTTTATATTTATTTTTTTTACGTATGGGTGGTCCCGGGGATCGAATCCACTACCCTTGGCGTTACAAGCGCCGTGCTCTACCAGCTGAGCTACAGAGGACCATCTTCTTGCATTTCAAAGTGTTGTAGCCTGTAATGAACATTTTTGTTTTGCAAACAGTAATTAACAGTTTCAGCATTTCTACATGCCGTGTTGCATTATTCAAATGTGTTAACTTCTGTGCAGCATGAGTGGCGATGCGGACCAGCCTCCCAGTGAGTTCAGTGGTTCCTCAGGACAGACTAGAGCCAGTATGAGTGGGGAGGTAACATGATGCGGACCAGCCTCCCAGTGGTTCCTCAGGACAGACTAGAGCCAGTATGAGTGGGGAGGTAACATGATGCGGACCAGCCTCCCAGTGGTTCCTCAGGACAGACTAGAGCCAGTATGAGTGGGGAGGTAACATGATGCGGACCAGACTCCCAGTGAGTTCAGTGGTTCTTCAGGACTGGCTAAGTGTAGCAGGCACAGAGGCCTGGCTCTTTAGTATTAAGGGGACATCGGCTGTGCTGATAAACAGACTTAATCCCCATCAGTAGACGACGTGAGACACATTTGACCCAAAGTAACAATTTGAGTACCGAACCGTTTTTAATGTTCTAGTATCGGGGAAAAAGTACAGAAGTTTCGGTATATACCGTGCAACACTAGTCCTTCCTCTGTGTTCTGTAGAGACTGAGGGTTTGGTTACTGATGTCCTTCTGTTCTGTTGTCTAGAAGCTGATGCATCCCAGTGAGGAGAGCGTTGGCATGGTCAGCCCTTCCTCTAAGGAAGAGGCAGAAGAGGAGGCATCAGACCAGGAGACGGGCAGCACGGCCGAGTCCTCCGAGGGAAACCCTTCCAACATGGAGGAAGAGGAGGACGGAGAGAATGACCCAGAGGAAGATGAGGAGGAGGAGGAAGAAGAGGAGGAAGAGTATGAGCAGGAGCAAGGGGATCGCAGAGCCAGGAATGCGCCAAATGATTACGACACTCGCAGTGAAGCCAGCGACTCCCAGTCTGAGTCGGTGTCCTTCTCTGAGGGGGAGTCGGTTCACTCTGGCTCTGGGTCTGACGCCTCAGGTAATAAACACCTGGACAACATGGGCTATGTCCCGATTTATCTGTCCCTCCTTCCAAGTGTGCACTTGTTCACTTCCCTTCATGGATTAAGAAGGACATTACTCGTATAAGAAAATGGTGGACATTCCGTCTAGCTTATGCCTACACCAATCCAATGTTTATACAGGAAGCAGTCAACGAATGCACACTTCAGGAGGAAGAAGAGATTATTGGGACTCTCTTTCCTTTCACTATCGTTGTCAGACTCTCTTTCCTTTCACTATCGTTGTCAGACTCTCTTTTAATCACCCACACGTTACACCCTCCTAGGTCACTGTCGTGGTAATACCATGATCACGTTACACCCTCCTAGGTCACTGTCGTGGTAATACCATGATCACGTTACACCCTCCTAGTCCACTGTCGTGGTAATACCATGATCACGTTACACCCTCCTAGGTCACTGTCGTGGTAATACCATGATCACGTTACACCCTCCTAGGTCACTGTCGTGGTAATACCATGATCACGTTACACCCTCCTAGGTCACTGTCGTGGTAATACCATGATCACGTTACACCCTCCTAGTCCACTGTCGTGGTAATACCATGATCACGTTACACCCTCCCAGTTCACTGTCGTGGTAATACCGTGATCACGTTACACCCTCCCAGTTCACTGTCGTGGTAATACCGTGATCACGTTACACCCTCCCAGTTCACTGTCGTGGTAATACCATGATCACGTTACACCCTCCCAGTTCACTGTCGTGGTAATACCGTGATCACGTTACACCCTCCTAGTCCACTGGTGTGGTAATACCATGATCACGTTACACAAAAAGTGGCTATTTGAAGAATCTCAAATATAAAATATATTTTGATTTGGTTAACAAATGCACTGACAGTTTTAAAGCAGAACTACCAATTAAAACAAACCTGTTTTAATGGAAAAGCCCCAATCAGCAGTTAAGATGTGCAATCAGCAAGATGTGAGTTGTGTCCACTCCGGTAGCCGACACACCCCTGCTGCTAAAACTCTTAATTTTCCACAGTACATTTGGTAACAATGACCCGGCAAATTACATTGGTTGTGCCTCAATTAATAAAGCCTATGATTTTTCCATGCAGATGTCGCCTACCAATGTTAGAACAGGGACTGGGTAGGTCTCCCTCTCGTTGGCGCCATCAGCTGTCGTCTTCCACACTGTTAGGACCGTTATCGGACTTGTGGATCGGTGTCATGCTCAGTTACATGCAGAAAAAGGTTTTAATGGGCTGAAGGAGAGTACGCAACAATTCAGTCACAACAGATTTAGAGGTATTTTCAGAATAAGGCGGGAAAAACATTTAGTCAACCGCCCGGTTCATAACATTGGAATCGGTTTACATACCGATGCTCCCTTTTGGATCAGTTTGGGCTCTCGCGGACCGATGCACTAGAATCTTAAACATTTGAACCGGGGACCGATGCGTATCTGTGGTGTAATATCCTGAAAGCTCACTGTCCGCTTTGCTGCACCTGTCCGTGTATGTCTTTCATTGCTTGAAGAATCAATGTATAGATTTAGCTCTTGTTCTGAGTTTTTTTTTGCAGCCATGGCATGTGCTATGAATAAGTTATTTGCATGCATTTGAAAACGGTGTGGCGTTCTCCAGGTTCTGAGAAGACGCGTGAGAAGCTGTCGTCGTCTGTCCGCGCCGTTCGCAAGGACCAGACCAGCAAGCTGAAGTACGTCCTACGAGACGCCCGCTTCTTCCTGATCAAGAGCAACAACCATGAGAACGTCTCCCTGGCCAAGGCTAAGGTGCACTCCTTCATCTTAAAGGGATACTGCGACATTCTGGCATTTAGCTTCTGAGTTAAAGGGATGCTTTGAAATTCTGGCATACATATACCTTTTGTTCTACTTCCCCCAGTGTCAGATGAACTTGTGGATACCATTTTTTCATGTCTCTGCGTGCCGTATAAAGGAAGTTAGCGATGCTACCGTATCTGTAGACTTCCAGTCATTTATAAGTCATACTAACGCTAGTTAGCATTGGCTCGCGCAACTACCACTGACTTCCGTTATACGGCACACAGAGACATTAAAAAAATGCTATCCACAAGTTCATCTGACACTGGGGGAAGTAGAACAAGGGCTTGTATGGCAGAATTTCACAGTATCACTTTAACTCAGAAGCTGTGTCGCAAATGGCACCCTATTCCCTATGTAGTGCACTACTTTTGACCAGGACCCATAGGGCTCTGACCAAAACTAGTGCCATGGTTAAAAGTAGTGCACTACATAGTGAATAGGGTGCTATTTGGGACACAACCATAGTCTCTTAAGAAGACTGTACAAAACACTGGTTACGGCAGGTAGCTTAGTGGTTAAGAGCGTTGTGCCAGTAACCGAAAAGGTCGCTGGTTCTAATCCCCGAGCCGACTAGGTGAAAAAATCTGTCGATGTGCCCTTGAGCAAGGCACTTAACCCTAATTGCTCCTGTAAGTCGCTCTGGATAAATGACTAAAAATGTAAATGCCTTTACATACAAACAAAAGTTTGTATGAAAAATGTTTCCCGACGATGAACACAAGCAAAACAGTGTAATGTTGACTGTGTTATTTCCAGGGGGTGTGGTCCACTCTGCCTGTAATGAGAAGAAGCTGAACGCTGCCTTCCATTCCGCTCGCAGCGTCATCCTGGTCTTCTCAGTCAAGGAGAGTGGCAAGTTCCAAGGTCAATACAGAGCTATAGCTATTAGGCTGCTATTCCTGTGGTTAACTTAATAGCCCCATATACAGTGGGGAGAACAAGTATTTGATACACTGCTGATTTTGCAGGTTTTCCTACTTACAAAGCATGTAGAGGTCTGTAATTTTTTATCATAGGTACACTTCAACTGTGAGAGACGGAATCTAAAACAAAAATCCAGAAAATCACATTGTATGATTTTTAAGTAATTCATTTGCATTTTATTGCATGACATAAGTATTTGATCACCTACCAACCAGTAAGAATTCCGGCTCTCACAGACCTGTTAGTTTTTCTTTAAGAAGCCCTCCTGTTCTCCACTCATTACCTGTATTAACTGCACCTGTTTGAACTCGTTACCTGTATAAAAGACACCTGTCCACACACTCAATCAAACAGACTCCAACCTCTCCACAATGGCCGAGACCAGAGAGCTGTGTAAGGACATCAGGGATAAAATTGTAGGCGTGCACCAGGCTGGGATGGGCTACAGGACAATAGGCAAGCAGCTTGGTGAGAAGGCAACAACTGTTGGCGCAATTATTAGAAAATGAAAGAAGTTCAAGATGACGGTCAATCACCCTCGGTCTGGGGCTCCATGCAAGATCACCTCGTGGGGCATCAATGATCATGAGGAAGGTGAGGGATCAGCCCAGAACTACACGGCAGGACCTGGTCAATGACCTGAAGAGAGCTGGGACCACAGTCTCAAAGAAAACCATTAGTAACACACTATGCCGTCATGGATTAAAATCCTGCAGCGCACGCAAGGTCCCCCTGCTCAAGCCAGCGCATGTCCAGGCTGTCTGAAGTTTGCCAATGACCATCTGGATGATCCAGAGGAGGAATGGGAGAACGTCATGTGGTCTGATGAGACAAAAATAGAGCTTTTTGGTCTAAACTCCACTCGCCGTGTTTGGAGGAAGAAGAAGGATGAGTACAACCCCAAGAACACCATCCCAACAGTGAAGCATGGAGGTGGAAACATCATTCTTTGGGGATGCTTTTCTGCAAAGGGGACAGGACGACTGCACCGTATTGAGGGGAGGATGGATGGTGCCATGTATCGCGAGATCTTGGCCAACAACCTCCTTCCCTCAGTAAGAGCATTGAAGATGGGTCGTGGCTGGGTCTTCCAGCATGACAATGACCCGAAACACACAGCCAGGGCAACTAAGGAGAGTAAGAAGCATCTCAAGGTCCTGGAGTGGCCTAGCCAGTCTCCAGACCTGAACCCAATAGAAAATCTTTGGAGGGAGCTGAAAGTCCGTATTGCCCAGCGACAGCCCTGAAACCTGAAGGATCTGGAGAAGGTCTGTATGGAGGAGTGGGCCAAAATCCCTGCTGCAGTGTGTGCAAACCTGGTCAAGACCTACAGGAAACATATGAACTCTGTAATTGCAAACAAAGGTTTCTGTACCAAATATTAAGTTCTGCTTTTCTGATGTATCAAATACTTATGTCATGCAATAAAATGCAAATTAATTACTTAAAAATCATACAATGTGATCATACAATGTGATTTTCTGGATTTTTGTTTTAGATTCCGTCTCTCACAGTTGAAGGGTACCTATGATAAAAATGACAGACCTCTACATGCTTTGTAAGTAGGAAAACCTTCAAAGTCAGCAGTGTATCAAATACTTGTCCTCCCCACTGTATATGTATTCAACTCCACCAGAAGTGTCAAAGCTCCCCCAGGACTGGAGTTGCCTTTCTTTCAATGTTGTGTAAATGTTGATCGCCCTTTTTAACTCAACAGCGCGAGACGACAGTCCTGAAATAAGGTTAATAAAAATGAGTGTGTCCTCCTCCAGGTTTTGCCAGGCTGTCCTCTGAGTCCCATCATGGAGGGTCTCCCATCCACTGGGTCCTGCCTGCTGGGATGAACGCCAAGATGCTGGGTGGGGTGTTCAGGATCGACTGGATCTGCAGGTAAGGCCTAAGCCATGTCTTTATAATGTGGTAGCTAGAATATAAATGTAAATTCAGACAGATTAATTACGGGACGATTTCCCCGGACACAGATATAAACCTAGTCCTAGACTAAAATGCAAACTCAATGGATAATCTCCATATAAAAGAGCTTTTTAGTCAAGGACTGGGGTAAATCTCTATCTGGGAAACCGCCCCTTAGTGTTTTGTCATCTCAGACCTGTTTTAAGACTTCTGCATCCATGACCTTGTTTAAATTAAAGCTCTAAACCATTTTATTTTCAGACGGGAGTTGCCGTTCACTAAAACGGCTCACCTCTCCAACCCATGGAATGAACGCAAGCCTGTAAAGATCGGCCGGGATGGACAGGTGAACATTCTCGATTTATAAATTCTATCCATGTGCCAGAGTCGGGTCCTGTTGTAGTGCTGCGGACTCCGGACCACGCATTGGCCCCCTGGAAATCGGTTCAAAACCCGCCCTTTAACCTTCCAGTCTGTTTGTCCCCACATCTGTCTCCTCGTCTAATTCACCTCTATCTACACCACATGACCAAAAGTATGTGGCACCTGCTTGTCGAACATCTCATTCCAAAATCATGGGCAATAATATGGAGTTGGTCCCCCCTTTGCTGCTATAACAGCCTCCACTCTTCTGGGAAGGCTTTCCACTAGATGTTGGAACATTGCTGCAGGGACTTACTTCCATTCAGCCACGAGCATTATTGAGGTCGGGCACTGATGTTGGGCGATTAGGCCTGGCTCGCAGTCGGCGTTCAAATTTATTTCAAAGGTGTTTGATGGGGTTGATGTAAGGGCTCTGTGCAGGCCAGTCAAGTTCTTCCACACCGATCTCGACAAACCATTTCTGTATGGACCTCGCTTTGTTTACGGGGGCGTTGTCATGCTGAAACAGGAAAAGGCCTTCCCCAAACTGTTGCCACAAAGTTGGAAGCACAGAATGTCAATGTATGCTGTAGTGTTAAGATTAGGTTTAGCCCAAACCATGAAAAACAGCCCTAGACAATTATTCCTCCTCCACCAAACTTTACAGTTGGCATTCGGACAGGTAGCATTCTCCTGGCGTCCGCCAAACCCAGATTCGTCTGTCGGACTGCCAGATGGTGAAGCGTGATTCATCACTCCAGAGAACGCGTTTCCACTGCTCCAGAGTCCAATGGCGGCGAGCTTTACACCGCTCCAGCCGACACTTGGCATTGCGCATGGTGATCTTAGGCTTGGTGCAGCTGCTCGGCCATGGAAACCCATTTCATGAACCTCCCGACGAACAGCACTCGGCGGTCCTGTTCTGTGAGCTTGTGTGGCCTACCACGTCGCGGCTGAGCCGTTGTTGCTCCTAGACGTTTCCACTTCACAATAACAGCACTTACAGTTGACCGGGGCAGCTCTAGCAGGGCAGAAATTTGACGAACTGACTTGTTGGAAAGGTGACATCCTATGATGGTGCCACATTGAAAGTCACTGAGCTCTTCAGTAAGGCCAGTGTTTGTCTATGGAGATTGCATGGCTGTGTGCTCGATTTTATACACCTGTCAGCAACGGGTGTGGCTGAAATGGCCGAATCCACTAATTTGTCACATGTATATATCTGTCTGTATCTATCTGTCTCCTCTAATTCACCTCTTTATACAGTGCCTTCAGAAAGTATTCACACCCCTTGACTTTTTCCACATTTTGATGTGTTAAAGCTTGAATTTATAATGGGGCCTACACACACACTACCCCATAATGTCTAAGTGGAATTATGTTTTTAGAAAATTAATAAAAAATAAAAAGTTGAATAAGTATTCAACCCCTTAGTTGTGGCAAGCCTAAATAAGTTCAGTAAACATTTACTTAACAAGTCACATAATAAGTTCCATAGACTCACTCTGTGTGCAATAATAGTGTCTAACATGATTGTTGAATGACTACCTCATCTCTGTACCCCACACATATAATTAATCTGTAAGGTCCCTCAGTCAAGCAGTGAATTTCAAACACAGATTCAACCACAAAGACCAGGGAGGTTTTCCAATGCCTCGCAAAGGAGGGCTCCTATTGGTAGATAATAAATAAAAAATAAAAAAGGAGACATTGAATATCCCTTTGACCATGGTGAAGTTATTAATTACACTTTGGATGGTGTATCAATACACTCAGTCACTACAAAGATACAGGCCTCCTTCCTAACTCAGTTGCTGGAGAGGAAGGAAACCACTCAGGGATTTCACCATGAGGCCAATTGTGACTTTAAAACAGTTACAGAGTTTAATGGCTGTGATAGGAGAAAACTGAGGATGAATCAACAACATTGTAGTTACTCCACAATACTAACCTAAATTACAGAGTGAAAATAAAACAGAATAAAAAATATTCCAAAATTGCATCCTGTTTGCAATAAGGCACTTATCATCGGCTTCTTGACCAAATCTTTTATTTCTGAGGCTCTGTATCCGTGAGTGAGCAAATTCTCACAGTTTCTTGCAGGAATTTGGGACTTCACTCATTTTCTCATGCCGAAACCGGATTAGATGCATAGCTAGTTAAATCAGAGTTAAAATACAAAAATATAATATTCACAATGTCACTAAGCAAAAAACAAAGAACCAAAATGGCAATAGCCACTACAATGTCAAAACATGATTTTGTTATGAGTTTAGTACCGTTTGCTTGATTTTTGCAGACCCGAGACTGGTGTATGGTCATTAGCTAGCTAGCTAACGTTGGCATGCTAGCGATGCTAGTATTAGCTAGGTAGCTAGCACGCTCTAGTATAGTCCAATGGAAACCGATGCAACCCTGCTGGCTACGTGGCTAGCTGGATGACCGGTGGTGACAGGGAGGTCTAATAAGTGTGATCGTGCAGAAATAGCAAAGAAAATACTGTTTTGATGAGCTAGCTAAGTTAACTAACAAAGTATACCAGTTATCAAAGAGGATGCTAGCTAGCCTAGTATGCATGGCAGGACCAGCGATGTCAAAGATGGTAGACCGACTCTGGAGTTGTGTCAACATTAAAACCAGGATGCACAGATGCAGCTCTCATGAAATGATATTTTATTAGCTGTAGTTAAAAACAGACACATACATTCACATAGCTATGAGCGAGTTGTAAACTCCTGAGTGGCGCAGTGGTCTAAGGCACTGTATCGCAGTGCTAACTGTGCCACTAGAGATCCTGGTTCGAATCCAGGCTCTGTCGCAGCCGGCCGCGACCGGGAGACTCATGGGCGGCGCACAATTGGCCCAGCGTCGTCCAGGGTAGGGGAGGGAATGGCCGGCAGGGATGTAGCTCAGTTGATAGAGCATGGCGTTTGCAACGCCAGGGTTGTGGGTTAGATTCCCACGGGGGCCAGTATAAAAAATATATATATATGTATTCACTAACTGTAAGTCGCTCTGGATAAGAGCGTCTGCTAAATGACTAAAATGTAAATGTAAACTAAAATAGTTTGCTAGATATCATCTATCTTGCTATCGCATTTTTTTTTTTAAAAAAAAAATGCATACGACAAAATATCTCTCAATACATTGCATATTGGTCCACAATTCCTCTGACATTTGGCTCGTAGTTGAAGAAAGAAGTGGAGACCAGATCACAGCAAACAGGAGAGGAATTGTAGAAATAGGCCTTTTGACTTTGTGGCTGTGGTAACTAGTGATGACCTAGAATTGTCTTACATTTACATTTTACATTTTTTTTGTCATTTAGCAGACGCTCTTATCCAGAGCGACTTACAGGAGCAATTAGGGTTAAGTGCCTTGCTCAAGGGCACATCGACAGATTTTTCACCTAGTCGGCTCGGCGATTAGAACCAGCGACCTTAAGGTTACTGGCACAACGCTCTTAACCACTAAGCTACCTGCCGCCCCGTACCTGCTGACCCAAATTACTGCCCTGATGACACAGACGGCTTCATCAACAACGGTAATGTGTGTTATGTGAGAAGTTGTATACCAAAAATACCCGGTTTGATAGTAGACCCAGTAGTAGTCATTTTGGTCGTGAAGCTTTGTTCTTTCTTTAGAATAAAATTCATTTTACCACTTGGCTGTCTATTGCATCACACTGTCACAGTCCCACCCAGTCAACACCACCTCAGTTACCGCGGTTTCCAAACTAGGGGGTCGCCATGTGTTGTCGCCTGATATGAAAATGGGGTCTCTGGAGAATTTCCAAAGTCCTGAAAGAAAGTTGTGTGTGTGTATGTGTGTGTATATATATATATATATAGTCTTTATCTCAATCATTGTAATGTGGTTAACCTTAAAAATCTCAATAAAGATTATTCTAATCCAATAGATAGAATTCAACCAGGTGATTGGTGGAAAAGGCTGCACTTGACCGTTGCACTTTAATCATTCCAACGCTACGCTATGAAACCACACACTCAAATCAAATTGTATTTGTCACATGCGCCGAATACAACAGTTGTGAAATTATTACTTACAAGCCCTTAACCAACAATGCAGTTTTAAGAAAATAGAGTTAAGTAAATATTTACTAAATAAACTAAAGTTAAAAATAAAAGAGCAACAATAAAATAACAATAGCGAGGCTATATACAGGGGGTACCGGTACAGAGTCAATGTGCGGGGGTACAAGTTAGTCAAGGTAATTGAGGTAATATGTACATGTAGGTAGGTGTAAAGTGACTATGCGTAGATAATAAACAGCGAGTAGCGGCAGCGTAAAAAAATGGCTTGGGGGTAGAAGCTGTTAAGTCTTTTGGACCTAGACTTGGCGCTCCGGTACCGCTTGAACAGTCTATGACTAGGGTGGATGGAGTCTGGCGATTTTTAGGGCCTTCCTCTGACACAGCCTGGTATAGAGGTCCTGGATGGCAGGAAGCTTGGCCCCAGTGAGGTGCTGGGCCGTACGCACTACCCTTTGTAGCGTCTTGCGGTCGGAGGCCGAGCAGTTGCCACCAGTCAGGATGGTGCAGCTGTAGAACTTTTTGAGGATCTGAGGACCCATGCTTTTCAGTCTCCTGTGGAGAAATGGGCGTTGTCATGCCCTCTTCACGACTGTCTTGGTGTGTTTGGACCATGATAGTTTGTTGGTGATGTGGACACCAAGGAACTGGAAGCTCTTGACCCGCTCCACTAGAGCCCCGTCGATGTGGCTGGGGGCGTGCTCGGCCCTCCTTTTCCTGTAGTCCACGATCATCTCCTTTGTCTTGATCACGTTGAGGGAGAGGTTGTTGTCCTGGCACCACACGGCCAGGTCTCTGACCTCCTCCCTATAGGCTGTCTCATCGTTGTCGGTGATCAGGCCTACCACTGTTATGTCGTCAGCAAACTTAATGATGGTGTTGGAGTCGTGCCTGGCCATGCAGCCATGGGTGAACAGGGAGTACAGGAGGGGACTAAGCACGCACCCCTGAGGGGCCCCCGTGTTGAGGATCAGCGTGGCGGATGTGTTGTTACCTACCCTTACCACCTGGGGGCGGCCCGTCGAAGTCCAGGATCCAGTTGCAGATGGAGGTGTTTGGTCTCAGGGTCCTTAGCTTGGTGATGAGCTTTGAGGGCACTATGGTGTTGAACGCTGAGCTGTAGTCAAAGAATAGCATTCTCACGTAGGTGTTCCTCTTGTCCAGGTGGGAAAGGGCAGTGTGGAGTGCAATAAAGATTGCGTAATCTGTGGATCTGTTGGGGCGGTATGCAAATTGGAGTGGGTCTAGGGATTCTGGGATGAAGGAGTTGATGTGAGCCATGACCAGCCTTTCAAAGCACTTCATGGCTACAGACGTGAGTGCTACGGGTCAGTAGTCATTTAGGCAGGTTACCTTAGTGTTCTTGGGCACGGGCTATGGTGGTCTGCTTGAAAAGTACACTACCAGTCAAAAGTTTGGACAGACCTACTCATTCAAGGGTTTTTCTTTATTAGTAAAATTTTTACATTGTAGAATAATAGTGAAGACATCAAAACTATAAAATAACACATATGGAATCATGTAGTAACCAAAAAAGTGTTAAACAAATCATAATATATTTTATATTTGAGATTCTTCAAATAGCCACCCTTTGCATTGATGACAGCTTTGCACTCTCTTGCCGAGTTCCCAGTTGTCTTCAAAGCACCAAAAAGAAGAGACCTCTGGTGGCATGTCTTGTGGGGTATGCATGGGAGTCCGAGCTGTGTGCCAGTAGTTCAAACAGACAGCTTGGTGCATTCAACATGTCAATACCTCTCACAAATACAAGTAGTGATGAAGTCAATCTCTCCTCCACTTTGAGCCAGGAGAGATTGACATGCATATTATTATTGTTAGCTCTCTGTGTACATTTAAGGGCCAGCCGAGCTGCACTGTTCTGAGCCAATTGCAATTTTCCTAAGTCCCTCTTTGTGGCACCTGACCACACGACTGAAACAGTAGTCCAGGAGTGACAAAACTAGGGCCTGTAGGATCTGCCTTGTTGATAGTGCTGTTAAGAAGGCAGAGCAGCGCTTTATTATGGACAGACTTCTCCCCATCTTAGCTACTGTTGTATTAATATGTTTTGACCATGACAGTTTACAATCCAGGGTTACTCCAAGCAGTTTAGTCACCTCAACTTGCTCAATTTCCACATTATTCATTACAAGATAACACGACAAAATGTGGAATAAGTCAAGGGGTATGAATACTTTCTGAAAGCACTATCTATCCAATAAAGAGAAAATACTATCCATCCTTTTCTCGCTAACTATTCACTCTCATGCAAATTACCCTATAGATTGACCGGCGGCTAACCAATTAACGGTTAACCGTTAATGTCCCTAAAGTGAATAGTTAGTTAGAGTAAATAGTTAAGACTAACTAACTATTCACTCTAAACTATTCACACTAACTTAGTTTGATTCACAGATATTCTATGGGTTGATCTACTAATCTGCCCCCCTCTCTCCCGTCCTCCTCCGGCCCTGCAGGAGATCGAGCCAGGGTGTGGGATGCAGCTGTGCATGCTGTTCCCCCAGGACGAGAGCATTGACTTGTATCAAGTTATTCATAAAATGCGACACAAGAGGAGGATGCCTTATGAGTCCCGCTCTCGAGGACGCCCGCCGCACAGAGAGCCCGCCCGAGGCGACCTGGGAAGGTTAGAAATGTTATTTGGACTGCTAGTGAGCTCTTTTGTCGACGTGATGATGGAGCGGTTCTGATATGACCATCTAACCGTCCTTCCCAGAGTGCTCTGCTCTCATCACATCCCAACGAAGAGGGAAACCTGAAATCCTCTGGGCTGCTGCCAAGGACCGCATACAGCCGCTCTGAGGAGGATAGATATATCTATGGCCCAGTGCTAACCACAGTATCTATGGCCCAGTGCTAACCACAGTATCTATGGCCCAGTGCTAACCACAGTATCTATGGCCCAGTGCTAACCACAGTATCTATGGCCCAGTGCTAACCACAGTATCTATGGCCCAGTGCTAACCACAGTATCTATGGCCCAGTGCTAACCACAGTATCTATGGCCCAGTGCTAACCACAGTATCTATGGCCCAGTGCTAACCACAGTATCTATGGCCCAGTGCTAACCACAGTATATATAGGCCGGTGCTAACCACAGTATCTATGGCCCAGTGCTAACCACAGTATATATAGGCCGGTGCTAACCACAGTATCTATGGCCCAGTGCTAACCACAGTATCTATAGGCCGGTGCTAACCACAGTATCTATGGCCCAGTGCTAACCACAGTAAATATAGGCCGGTGCTAACCACAGTATATACAGTGGGGAAAAAAAGTATTTAGTCAGCCACCAATTGTGCAAGTTCTCCCACTTAAAAAGATGAGAGAGGCCTGTAATTTTCGTCATAGGTACACGTCAACTATGACAGACAAAATGAGAAAAAATTATCCAGAAAATCACATTGTAGGATTTTTAATGAATTTATTTGCATATTATGGTGGAAAATAAGTATTTGGGCAATAACAAAAGTTTCTCAATACTTTGTTATATACCCTTTGTTGGTAATGACACAGGTCAAACGTTTTCTGTAAGTCTTCACAAGGTTTTCACACACTGTTGCTGGTATTTTGGCCCATTCCTCCATGCAGATCTCCTCTAGAGCAGTGATGTTTTGGGGCTGTCGCTGGGCAACACAGACTTTCAACTCCCTCCAAAGATTTGCTATGGGGTTGAGATCTGGAGACTGGCTAGGCCACTCCAGGACCTTGAAATGCTTCTTACGAAGCCACTCCTTCGTTGCCCGGGCGGTGTGTTTGGGATCATTGTCATGCTGAAAGACCCAGCCATGTTTCATCTTCAATGCCCTTGCTGATGGAAGGAGGTTTTCACTCAAAATCTCACGATACATGGCCCCATTCATTCTTTCCTTTACACGGATCAGTCGTCCTGGTCCCTTTGCAGAAAAACAGCCCCAAAGCATGATGTTTCCATCCCCATGCTTCACAGTAGGTATGGTGTTCTTTGGATGCAACTCAGCAATCTTTGTCCTACAAACACGACGAGTTGAGTTTTTACCAAAAAGTTATATTTTGGTTTCATCTGACCATATGACATTCTCCCAATCCTCTTCTGGATCATCCAAATGCACTCTAGCAAACTTCAGACGGGCCTGGACATGTACTGGCTTAAGCAGGGGGACACGTCTGGCACTGTAGGATTTGAGTCCCTGGCGGCGTAGTGTGTTACTGATGGTAGGCTTTGTTACTTTGGTCCCAGCTCTCTGCAGGTCATTCACTAGGTCCCCCTGTGTGGTTCTGTGATTTTTGCTCACCGTTCTTGTGATCATTTTGACCCCACGGGGTGAGATCTTGCGTGGAGCCCCAGATCGAGGGAGATTATCAGTGGTCTTGTATGTCTTCCATTTCCTAATAATTGCTCCCACAGTTGATTTCTTCAAACCAAGCTGCTTACCTATTGCAGATTCAGTCTTCCCAGCCTGGTGCAGGTCTACAATTTTGTTTCTGGTGTCCTTTGACAGCTCTTTGGTCTTGGCCATAGTGGAGTTTGGAGTGTGACTGTTTGAGGTTGTGGACAGGTGTCTTTTATACTGATAACAAGTTCAAACAGGTGCCATTAATACAGGTAACGAGTGGAGGACAGAGGAGCCTCTTAAAGAAGAAGTTACAGGTCTGTGAGAGCCAGAAATCTTGCTTGTTTGTAGGTGACCAAATACTTATTTTCCACCATAATTTGCAAATAAATTCATTAAAAATCCTACAATGTGATTTTCTGGATTATTTTTTCTCAATTTGTCTGTCATAGTTGACGTGTACCTATGATGAAAATTACAGGCCTCTCTCATCTTTTTAAGTGGGAGAACTTGCACAATTGGTGGCTGACTAAATACTTTTTCTCCCCACTGTATAGGCCGGTGCTAACCACAGTAAATATAGGCCGGTGCTAACCACAGTATATATAGGCTGGTGCTAACCACAGTATATATAGGCAGGTGCTAACCACAGTATATATAGGCCGGTGCTAACCACAGTAAATATAGGCCGGTGCTAACCACAGTATATATAGGCCGGTGCTAACCACAGTATATATAGGCCGGTGCTAACCACAGTATATATAGGCCGGTGCTAACCACAGTATATATAGGCCGGTGCTAACCACAGTATCTATAGGCCGGTGCTAACCTCAGTATATATAGGCCGGTGCTAACCACAGTATAGAGGCCGGTGCTAACCACAGTGTATATATAGGCCGGTGCTAACCACAGTGTATATATAGGCCGGTGCTAACCACAGTATATATAGGCCGGTGCTAACCACAGTATATATAGGCCGGTGCTAACCACAGTGTATATATAGGCCGGTGCTAACCACAGTATATATAGGCCGGTGCTAACCACAGTATATATAGGCCGGTGCTAACCACAGTATATATAGGCCGGTGCTAACCACAGTATATATAGGCCGGTGCTAACCACAGTATATATAGGCCGGTGCTAACCACAGTATATATAGGCCGGTGCTAACCACAGTATATATAGGCCGGTGCTAACCACAGTATATATAGGCCGGTGCTAACCACAGTATATATAGTCCGGTGCTAACCACAGTATCTATAGGCCGGTGCTAACCACAGTATATATAGGCCGGTGCTAACCACAGTATATATAGTCCGGTGCTAACCTCGTTACTAGTAGGCTGAGTCTGGCTTGTTTCTGTCTGCACGTGGTGGTGATGTATAATTCAGTGTAAAGAAACTGGGGTCTTGATATCTCCCTGAGTAATGAATGCAGTCTCGGTGTGAAAATGTATGCACTCACCAACTGTAAGTCGCTCTGGATAAGAGCGTCTGCTAAATGACTAAAATGTAAATGTACATTTGAACCATCGTACTAGCTACTTAAACCACCGACATTTTAGTTGTTTATACACACTTTTCAACAGTCATCAGGTTCACTGCTTGAATGCATTTCTCTAGGTAAGTTGTTTTAAATATGTTCCCAAAGTCTCTTCTTTCAGGAGTATCCTGGGAAATAAACCTAATCATATATGGGACTTATAAACCTAATCATATATGAGGACTTATAAACCTAATCATATATGAGGACTTAAACCTAATCATATATGTGACTTATAAACCTAATCATATATGGGACTTATAAACCTAATCATATATGGGGACTTAAACCTAATCATATATGGGACTTATAAACCTAATCATATATGGGGACTTATAAACCTAATCATATATGGGGACTTATAAACCTAATCATATATGGGACTTATAAACCTAATCATATATGGGGACTTATAAACCTAATCATATATGGGACTTATAAACCTAATCATATATGGGGACTTATAAACCTAATCATATATGGGGACTTATAAACCTAATCATATATGGGGACTTATAAACCTAATCATATATGAGGACTTATAAACCTAATTATATATGAGGACTTATAAACCTAATCATATATGGGGACTTATAAACCTAATCATATATGAGGACTTATAAACCTAATCATATATGAGGACTTAAACCTAATCATATATGGGACTTATAAACCTAATCATATATGGGACTTAAACCTAATCATATATGGGGACTTAAACCTAATCATATATGGGACTTATAAACCTAATCATATATGGGGACTTCTAAACCTAATCATATATGGGGACTTATAAACCTAATCATATATGGGGACTTCTAAACCTAATCATATATGGGGACTTCTAAACCTAATCATATATGGGGACTTATAAACCTAATCATATATGGGGACTTATAAACCTAATCATATATGGGGACTTATAAACCTAATCATATATGGGGACTTATAAACCTAATCATATATGGGGACTTATAAACCTAATCATCATATATGGGGACTTATAAACCTAATCATCATATATGGGGACTTATAAACCTAATCATATATGGACTTACAGTATGATATAATATAACGACAACTTACACTGCCATAAATGGAAGGACAGAAAAGTAATGTTTTATGTCACATGATTTTGGACAAATCCGTCAAGACACCAAACATGATAAAAGGGTTAAACAGGTTTTAAATCAACTCGTGAATTTGATTGAGTATTGCTATGACCCCCCCCCCCCCCCCTATTGTTGACCTATCAACAGCTGGAACAAGTTGTCCAGTGGAAGAAACCCTCAGTAGTACCCTAGTTTATAGAAAGACCCATATGGTACCCTAGTTTATAGAAAGACCCATATGGTACCCTAGTTTATAGAAAGACCCATATGGTACCCTAGTTTATAGAAAGACCCATATGGTACCCTAGTTTATAGAAAGACCCATATGGTACCCTAGTTTATAGAAAGACCCATATGGTACCCTAGTTTATAGAAAGACCCATATGGTACCCTAGTTTATAGAAAGACCCATATGGTACCCTAGTTTATAGAAAGACCCATATGGTACCCTAGTTTATAGAAAGACCCATATGTATCTTTACCCCTGGGGGGGGAGAGCCTGAGAGGAGGCAGTATGGTCTGAACTCTACAGTGGGGGAAAAAGTATTTAGTCAGCCACCAATTGTGCAAGTTCTCCCACTTAAAAAGATGAGAGAGGCCTGTAATTTTCATCATAGGTACACGTCAACTATGACAGACAAAATGAGAAAAAAAAATCCAGAAAATCACATTGTAGGACTTTTAATGAATTTATTTGCAAATTATGGTGGAAAATAAGTATTTTGTCAATAACAAAAGTTTCTCAATACTTTGTTATATACCCTTTGTTGGCAATGACACAGGTCAAACGTTTTCTGTAAGTCTTCACAAGGTTTTCACACACTGTTGCTGGTATTTTGGCCCATTCCTCCATGCAGATCTCCTCTAGAGCAGTGATGTTTTGGGGCTGTCGCTGGGCAACACGGACTTTCAACTCCCTCCAAAGATTTTCTATGGGGTTGAGATCTGGAGACTGGCTAGGCCACTCCAGGACCTTGAAGTGCTTCTTACGAAGCCACTCCTTCGTTGCCCGGGCGGTGTGTTTGGGATCATTGTCATGCTGAAAGACCCAGCCACGTTTCATCTTCAATGCCCTTGCTGATGAAAGGAGGTTTTCACTCAAAATCTCACGATACATGGCCCCATTCATTCTTTCCTTTACACGGATCAGTCATCCTGGTCCCTTTGCAGAAAAACAGCCCCAAAGCATGATGTTTCCACCCCCATGCTTCACAGATTTCTTCAAACCAAGCTGCTTACATATTGCAGATTCAGTCTTCCCAGCCTGGTGCAGGTCTACAATTTTGTTTCTGGTGTCCTTTGACAGCTCTTTGGTCTTGGCCATAGTGGAGTTTGGAGTGTGACTGTTTGAGGTTGTGGACAGGTGTCTTTTATACTGATAACAAGTTCAAACAGGTGCCATTAATACAGGTAACGAGTGGAGGACAGAGGAGCCTCTTAAAGAAGAAGTTACAGGTCTGTGAGAGCCAGAAATCTTGCTTGTTTGTAGGTGACCAAATACTTATTTTCCACCGTAATTTGCAAATAAATTCATAAAAAATCCTACAATGTGACTTTCTGGATTTTCTTTTCTCAATTTGTCTGTCATAGTTGACATGTACCTATGATGAAAATTACAGGCCTCTCTCATCTTTTAAGTGTGAGAACTTGCACAATTGGTGGCTGACTAAATACTTTTTTCCCCCACTGTATATATCTACCACTGGGAGGAGGCAGTATGATCTGAACTCTATACATCTACCACTGGGAGGAGGCAGTATGATCTGACCTCTATACATCTACCACTGGGAGGAGGCAGTATGATCTGACCTCTATACATCTACCACTGGGAGGAGGCAGTATGATCTGACCTCTATACATCTACCACTGGGAGCAGAGGAGGCAGTATGGCCGGGTTGATAAAACAAACGTCGTTCACTCACTCGCTCTTCAGCAGACGTTCCTTTAACCAAAGGATATCTGTTGAACTGAAATAATTATTATCCTATTGTTCACTTAAAACCACCCCCCCCTACACCCCCTCCGCAGGAAATCATATTGGCGTGATTTTGTTTTGTGTAGGTGGTTAGGGAAATCTAAAGGACTAGGTTAGGAGTGTTTCCTAAAGGACAGGAGTGTTTCCATACCCTAACCTAAAGGACTAGGTTAGGAGTGTTTCCTAAAGGACAGGAGTGTTTCCATACCCTAACCTAAAGGACTAGGTTAGGAGTGTTTCCTAAAGGACAGGAGTGTTTCCATACCCTAACCTAAAGGACTAGGTTAGGAGTGTTTCCTAAAGGACAGGAGTGTTTCCATACCCTAACCTAAAGGACTAGGTTAGGAGTGTTTCCTAAAGGACAGGAGTGTTTCCATACCCTAACCTAAAGGACTGAGAATAAGGTAGGAGGAGACCCACTGGCAGAATGTTACAAACCCACTCGTTTCCTTTTGAAGGCCTTAATGGACTGAGAATGACACCACAAGGAAGGGAAGTTCTAAGCCAAAGGGGGTCGGTCACCTTTTGGTTTATAAAATGGCCGGAGTGAAGCTAATCCTCTGGTGTTTTCTTTTTGATTGCAATGGACTGCATCAATCACCCCTTCTTTGCCCTCCCAGCCCGGCCCCTTCCTTGTAATGTCTTTGTGGCTGTAGACCCTAAACCATAAGATGGACTGTCTATATGAACTTTTGATATCTTAATATCAACGGTGACAGTCACAAAACTACAAGAAAAAGCGGTATGTTACCATTTTAACCAGCTCTTTCTCATTTACCTGTAGACCGTTTATTTACAGCTGAGTTAACTATCTGGTTAATTTTAATTGAACATGGAAGGTGTTTGTTGTGTGGTATCAGTGATTTACATTGTTATATTGATGGCTGGCCAGAAGCAGTAACAATGTAAGGGATAATCAACTCGGGGCTCTGTGCGTTCTATAGAAAATAATGAACGACGTGACCTTTCCACAGAGTTGCATTATTATCCAGAGAACACGTAGAGCCCAGAGTTGATTATAACCCTTTATACCACGGCTATAATTTAACACATTTGCCCGCTAGAAATGTGTTTAATTTGCCGCTAGAAATGTGTTCAACGTCCACTGAAGTAGCTTGCTAGTTTACTACATAGCTACAGTAGTTGCCTTGGTAACCAAACAGACTTGCTAGTTTAGCTAACCAAACCATCAGTACTCGCTTGCTATTATGAAAATCGAATTCAACACTAATAATACTGTTTTCAATTAGACTTCTCCTTTCAAAAGCTGCTCAAACAAAACATGTAAAAATTAACTATAGCCATTTAATTCTACCATGCAAATATACTGTGCATTATAGGGAAATAATGCACGCTCTAGAATGCCCTTCAAGCCAATCAGAAAGGAGTATTCAGCAATGTCATGGTATAAATTGGTTTAATTGTTATATTAAAGAAGCAGTAACTATATTGGTTTAATGCAGGGATTACGGTCTCTAGCTCCTTATTGGATAACACAAGGGGGTAAATAACAGATGCCCCAAACATTTTATCTAACAATGATGCACTTCAACAGTTACAGTACTGTAAACATCCTGTTTTAGCTGCAGAATTGGCTGAACTGTTATGGAACTAAGCTGAACAAAAACTAACTGGTGAATTAACTGTCTACAAGCAGTAAGATCTCATTGAGAATGTAATGGTTGATCAAGCAGTAAGATGTCATTGAGAATATAATGGTTGATTTGATAGTCTGCTCAGTATAACTCTGTACATGTTTAGTGTTTTTAAATGACTACTAAGTGTGTTATGGTATAGTCTGTTCAGATTGCATCAGAAATGTTTGTATCTATGATGTTAAAGGGTTACTAGGATGTTGGGCTGTATCTATGATGTTAAAGGGCTACTAGGATGTTGGGCTGTATCTATGATGTTAAAGGGCTACTAGGATGTTGGGCTGTATCTAGGATGTTAAAGGGTTACTAGGATGTTGTGCTGTATCTATGATGTTAAAGGGCTACTAGGATGTTGGGCTGTATCTATGATGTTAAAGGGCTACTAGGATGTTTTGCTGTATCTTGTGTATCCTGGCATTTGTCTCAATTGTTTACCTAATTCATGTAGGCATCGGCCAGAGGAAAATGCCATTCACAACAGGAAACGCCCGAGGATTGACTATCCAGCAGAGTTCCCACAGAGACCAGGTTACTATTACTAACATATGAATTGGTACAGTATGAAAATGATGGGGTGCGTCCCAAATGGCACCCTATTCCCTATATAGTGCACTACTTTAGACCAGAGAATGGCACCCTATTCCCTATATAGTGCACTACTTTAGACCAGAGAATGGCACCCTATTCCCTATATAGTGCACTACTTTAGACCAGAGAATGGCACCCTATTCCCTATATAGTGCACTACTTTAGACCAGAGAATGGGACCCTATTCCCTATATAGTGCACTACTTTAGACCAGAGAATGGCACCCTATTCCCTATATAGTGCACTACTTTTGACCAGGGCCAGCCCACCATTTTGTCACATAACTACTTACAGTGAGGGAAAAAAGTATTTGATCCCCTGCTGATTTTGTACGTTTGCCCACTGACAAAGAAATTATCAGTCTATAATTTTAATGTTAGGTTTATTTGAACAGTGAGAGACAGAATAACAACAACTAAATCCAGAAAAACTAATGTCAAAAATGTTATAAATTGATTTACATTTTAATGAGGGAAATAAGTATTTGACCCCCTCTCAATCAGAAAGATTTCTGGCTCCCAGGTGTCTTTTTATACAGGTAACAAGCTGAGATTAGGAGCACACTCTTAAAGGGAGTGCTCCTAATCTCAGTTTGTTACCTGTATAAAAGACACCTGTCCACAGAAGCAATCAATCAATCAGATTCCAAACTCTCCACCATGACCAAGACCAAAGAGCTCTCCAAGGATGTCGGGGACAAGATTGTAGACCTACACAAGGCTGGAATGGGCTACAAGACCATCGCCAAGCAGCTCGGTGAGAAGGTGACAACAGTTGGTGCGATTATTCGCAAATGGAAGAAACACAAAAGAACTGTCAATCTCCCTCGGTCTGGGGCTCCATGCAAGGTCTCACCTCGTGGAGTTGCAATGATCATGAGAACAGTGAGGAATCAGCCCAGAACTACACGGGAGGATCTTGTCAATGATCTCAAGGCAGCTGGGACCATAGTCACCAAGAAAACAATTGGTAACACACTACGCTGTGAAGGACTGAAATCCTGCAGCGCCTTCAAGGTCCCCCTGCTCAAGAAAGCACATATACATGCCCGTCTGAAGTTTGCCAATGAACATCTGAATAATTCAGAGGAGAACTGGGTGAAAGTGTTGTGGTCAGATGAGACCAAAATCGAGCTCTTTGGTATCAACTCAACTCGCCGTGTTTGAAGGAGGAGGAATGCTGCCTATGACCCCAAGAAACACCATCCCCACCGTCAAACATGGAGGTGGAAACATTATGCTTTGGGGGTGTTTTTCTGCTAAGGGGACAGGACAACTTCACCGCATCAAAGGGACAATGGACGGGGCCATGTACCGTGAAATCTTGGGTGAGAACCTCCTTCCCTCAGCCAGGGCATTGAAAATGGGTCGTGGATGGGTATTCCAGCATGACAATGACCCAAAACACATGGCAAAGGCGTGGAGTGGCTCAAGAAGAAGCACATTAAGGTCCTGGAGTGGCCTAGCCAGTCTCCAGACCTTAATCCCATAGAAAATCTGTGGAGGGAGCTGAAGGTTCGAGTTGCCAAAACGTCAGCCTCGAAACCTTAATGACTTGGAGAAGATCTGCAAAGAGGAGTGGGACAAAATCCCTCCTGAGATGTGTGCAAACCTGGTGGCCAACTACAAGAACCGTCTGACCTCTGTGATTGCCAACAAGGGTTTTGCCACCAATACTAAGTCATGTTTTGCAGAGGGGTCAATACTTATTTCCCTCATTAAAATGCAAATCAATTTATAACATTTTTTGAACATGCGTTTTTCTGGATTTTGTTGTTGTTATTTTGTCTCTCACTGTTCAAATAAACCTACCATTAAAATTATAGACTGATCATGTCTTTGTCAGTGGGCAAACGTACAAAATCAGCAGGGGATCAAATACTTTTTACCCTCACCGTATGTAGTCAGCTGATATCACCGTATGTTATTGGTACAGTATGGACATTCTAGTTATTGCATTAGTACCGCATGTTGGTTATTATAAGGACATGAAAGAGCAACACGATGTTCAGCCATGCGCAGTAGATCGCCTGCTGGGTTATGAAGAAACGGTGGCAATAAAACATTTAAAGAATTTAAAGATGCCAGGGGCCTCATCTATCAACCACGCCTACATTTCATACTAAATTCTGGTACACGTGGAGATTTTAGGATTAGCCTGCGCCGCAAATTATTGGGATTTATCAAACTGTCGCACGCAACATACAAGTATGTCTTCATTTGATAAGTCAGAGCCATATTATATTTGTGCGGTCGTGAACGAGCGCTACGACACGCCTGGAAAACTCTCCATTCACCTTCTATGTACAAAAAAATAACATTGGAGGATGTTGGAACTGAGCCATGTCATTTCAAAAATAATGTACAATGGCAAACGTATTACATTTCTGTAGACTGTGGGCAGGATGTTGTCTCTTTGAGAAGAATGGCACCCTATTCCCTATATAGTGCACTATACTTTAGACCAGAGAGATGGCACCCTATTCCCTATATAGTGCACTACTTTAGACTCAAGTGCAGTACTTTAGACCAGAGATGGACCTATTCCCTATATAGGACACTTTAGACCAGAGAGGCACCATTCCCTATTAGGCACTACTTTAGACCAGAAATAGCACCCTATCCCATATTGCATACTTAGACAGAGAATGGGACTATTCCCTATATAGGCACTACTTTAGACAGATGGCCCCTATTCCCTATATAGTGCATATTTGACAGAATGGCACCCTATTCCCTATATAGTGCACTACTTTAGACCAGAGAATGGCACCCTATTCCCTATATGTGCACTACTTTAGACCAGAGAATGGCAACCCTATTCCCTATATAGTGCACTACTTTAGACCAGAGAATGGCACCACCTATTCCCTATATAGTGCACTACTTTAGACCAGAGAATGGCACCCTATTCCCTATATAGTGCACTACTTTAGACCAGAGAATGGCACCCTTTCCCTATAGTGCAATACTTTAGACCAGAGAATGGCACCCTATTCCCTATATAGTGCACTACTTTAGACAGAGAATGACACCCTATTCCCTATATAGTGCACTACTTTAGACCAGAGAATGGCCACCCTATTCCCTATATAGTGCACTACTTTAGACCAGAGAATAGCACCCTATTCCCTATATAGTGCACTACTTTAGACCAGAGAATGGCACCCTATTCCCTATATAGTGCACTACTTTAGACCAGAGAATGGCACCCTATTCCCTATATAGTGCACTACTTTAGACCAGAGAATAGCACCCTATTCCCTATATAGTGCCACTACTTTAGACCAGAGAATGGGACCCTATTCCCTATATAGTGCACTACTTTAGACCAGAGAATGGCACCCTATTCCCTATATAGTGCACTACTTTAGACCAGAGAATAGCACCCTATTCCCTATATAGTGCACTACTTTTGACCAGGGCCAGCCCACCATTTTGTCACATAACTACTTACAGTGAGGGAAAAAAGTATTTGATCCCCTGCTGATTTTGTACGTTTGCCCACTGACAAAGAAATGATCAGTCTATAATTTTAATGTTAGGTTTATTTGAACAGTGAGAGACAGAATAACAACAAATAAATCCAGAAAAACGCATGTCAAAAATGTTATAAATTGATTTGCATTTTAATGAGGGAAATAAGTATTTGACCCCCTCTCAATCAGAAAGATTTCTGGCTCCCAGGTGTCTTTTTATACAGGTAACAAGCTGAGATTAGGAGCACACTCTTAAAGGGAGTGCTCCTAATCTCAGTTTGTTACCTGTATTACATTTACATTACATTTTAGTCATTTAGCAGACGCTCTTATCCAGAGCGACTTACAGTTAGTGAATACATATATATATATTTTTTATACTGGCCCCCCGTGGGAATCAAACCCACAACCCTGGCGTTGCAAACGCCATGCTCTACCAACTGAGCTACATCCCTGCCGGCCATTCCCTCCCCTACCCTGGACGACGCTGGGCCAATTGTGCGCCGCCCATGAGTCTCCCGGTCGCGGCCGGCTGCGACAGAGCCTGTATTCGAACCAGGATCTCTAGTGGCACAGTTAGCACTGCGATGCAGTGCCTTAGACCACTGCGCCACTCAGGAGGACAAAGACACCTGTCCACAGAAGCCACCTGTATAAAAGACACCTGTCCACAGAAGCAATCAATCAATCAGATTCCAAACTCTCCACCATGGCCAAGACCAAAGAGCTCTCCAAGGATGTCAGGGACAAGATTGTAGACCTACACAAGGCTGGAATGGGCTACAAGACCATCGCCAAGCAGCTTGGTGAGAAGGTGACAACAGTTGGTGCGATTATTCGCAAATGGAAGAAACACAAAAGAACTGTCAATCTCCCTCGGTCTGGGGCTCCATGCAAGATCTCACCTCGTGGAGTTGCAATGATCATGAGAACAGTGAGGAATCAGCCCAGAACTACACGGGAGGATCTTGTCAATGATCTCAAGGCAGCTGGGACCATAGTCACCAAGAAAACAATTGGTAACACACTACGCCGTGGAGGACTGAAATCCTGCAGCGCCCGCAAGGTCCCCCTGCTCAAGAAAGCACATATACAGGCCCGTCTGAAGTTTGCCAATGAACATCAGAATAATTCAGAGGAGAACTGGGTGAAAGTGTTGTGGTCAGATGAGACCAAAATCGAGCTCTTTGGTATCAACTCAACTCGCCGTGTTTGAAGGAGGAGGAATGCTGCCTATGACCCCAAGAACACCATCCCCACCGTCAAACATGGAGGTGGAAACATTATGCTTTGGGGGTGTTTTTCTGCTAAGGGGACAGGACAACTTCACCGCATCAAAGGGACAATGGACGGGGCCATGTACCGTCAAATCTTGGGTGAGAACCTCCTTCCCTCAGCCAGGGCATTGAAAATGGGTCGTGGATGGGTATTCCAGCATGACAATGACCCAAAAAACATGGCAAAGGCGTGGAGTGGCTCAAGAAGAAGCACATTAAGGTCCTGGAGTGGCCTAGCCAGTCTCCAGACCTTAATCCCATAGAAAATCTGTGGAGGGAGCTGAAGGTTCGAGTTGCCAAACGTCAGCCTCGAAACCTTAATGACTTGGAGAAGATCTGCAAAGAGGAGTGGGACAAAATCCCTCCTGAGATGTGTGCAAACCTGGTGGCCAACTACAAGAACCGTCTGACCTCTGTGATTGCCAACAAGGGTTTTGCCACCAAATACTAAGTCATGTTTTGCAGAGGGGTCAAATACTTATTTCCCTCATTAAAATGCAAATCAATTGATAACATTTTTGACATGCGTTTTTCTGGATTTTGTTGTTGTTATTTTGTCTCTCACTGTTCAAATAAACCTACCATTTAAAATTATAGACTGATAATTTCTTTGTCAGTGGGCAAACGTACAAAATCAGCAGGGGATCAAAGACTTTTTTTCCCCTCACCGTATGTTATTGGTACAGTATGGACATTCTAGTTATTGCATTAGTACCGCATGTTGGTTATTATAAGGACATGAAAGAGCAACACGATGGTGAGCCATGCGCAGTAGATCGCCTGCTGGGTTATGAAGAAACGGTGGCAATAAAACATTTAAAGAATTTAAAGATGCCAGGGGCCTCATCTATCAACCACGCCTACATTTCATACTAAATTCTGGTACACGTGGAGATTTTAGGATTAGCCTGCGCCGCAAATTATTGGGATTTATCAAACTGTCGCACGCAACATACAAGTATGTTTTCATTTGATAAGTCAGAGCCATATTATATTTGTGCGGTCGTGAACGAGCGCTACGACCACGCCTGGAAAACTCTCCATTCACCTTCTATGGTAACAAAAAAATAACATTTGGAGGATGTTGGAACTGAGCCATGTCCATTTCAAAAATAATGTACAATGGCAAACTGTATTACATTTCTGTAGAGCTGTGGGCAGGATGTTGTAGTGTTTTTCAATGATTGTCCATTCAAACCATTTAAAGTAAACGCTACAGCCCATATAGTGCAAAATTACAATGATTGTTCAATATTTAGTTTATCAATAGATAGTGTTTCTATGTCCTGCCTTGGTGTAGGCTCTGAGATCAATAGATAGTGTTTCTATGGCCTGCCTTGGTGTAGGCTCTGAGATCAATAGATAGTGTTTCTATGTCCTGCCTTGGTGTAGGCTCTGAGATCAATAGATAGTGTTTCTATGGCCTGCCTTGGTGTAGGCTCTGAGATCAATAGATAGTGTTTCTATGTCCTGCCTTGGTGTAGGCTCTGAGATCAATAGATAGTGTTTCTATGTCCTGCCTTGGTGTAGGCTCTGAGATCAATAGATAGTGTTTCTATGGCCTGCCTTGGTGTAGGCTCTGAGATCAATAGATAGTGTTTCTATGGCCTGCCTTGGTGTAGGCTCTGAGATCAATAGATAGTGTTTCTATGTCCTGCCTTGGTGTAGGCTCTGAGATCAATAGATAGTGTTTCTATGTCATGCCTTGGTGTAGGCTCTGAGATTAGATAGGCTATGATGTCACGCTCCCAATCCTATCTCACAGCAATACTGTAGGCTACCCAATACTGTAGCCTACCCAATACTGTAGCCTACCCAATACTGTAGCCTACCCAATACTGTAGGCTACCCAATACTGTAGCCTACCCAATACTGTAGGCTACCCAATACTGTAGGCTACCCAATACTGTAGGCTACCCAATACTGTAGCCTACCCAATACTGTAGGCTACCCAATACTGTAGCCTACCCAATACTGTAGGCTACCCAATACTGTAGCCTACCCAATACTGTAGGCTACCCAATACTGTAGCCTACCCAATACTGTAGCCTACCCAATACTGTAGGCTACCCAATACTGTAGGCTACCCAATACTGTAGGCTACCCAATACTGTAGGCTACCCAATACTGTAGGCTACCCAATACTGTAGCCTACCCAATACCGTTACATACTGCCAAGGCTACCGGTCTATTTACTGTCCAGCATGGCTTGTATTTGTTGTGGAGCTGGATAATTTAAACCAGTTATGTCAGAAAAGGAGAAAAGTCCTGCAATATGATTTAGGCCTATTTTAATAAAAGTAAAATAAACCTATTCGGCGACATGCTGCTATGTGATCTCCTTACCAATGGCAAATGCATCTGTTTTATCATTAGACCTACGTTTTTTAATGTTTTTAGTAGCTTACCATTATTATGATTCTGGTGCGTCAAACACCTCCTATTTCCCCCAAACCTCCTATTTCCCCCAAACGGACAATAAGCCTATTTGCTTGCGATACAGTTGATCAGCCTTCTAGTATGATAGACTACAGGGGAGATCTCTCTAGTATGGTAGACTACAAGGGAGATCTCTCTAGTATGGTAGACTACAGGGGAGATCTCTCTAGTATGGTAGACTACAGGGGAGATCTCTCTAGTATGGTAGACTACAGGGGAGATCTCTCTAGTATGATAGACTACAGGGGAGATCTCTCTAGTATGGTAGACTACAGGGGAGATCTCTCTAGTATGGTAGACTACAAGGGAGATCTTTCTAGTATGGTAGACTACAAGGGAGATCTCTCTAGTAAGGTAGACTACAAGGGAGATCTCTCTAGTAGTTTCTAAGGCAGGACAGGCAGACAGCGAGGCTTAAATTGACTCCCGCTGTACCAAACGAATCGCTAGACTGGAAGCCAGGGGAAATAACGTGAGAGTTGATAGTTCATGCGTACGCATGTTTTGAGATTTGCGTGGAGATACGCACACTTTCCCGTCAAGTTCGAAACGGATAAACACCAACCTTTTGTGGGAAAACTGGCGCACGCAAGGTTTTAGAGTATTTTTTTGTGTGCGCGCACCTTTTGATAAATGAGGCCCCAGGAAATAAACAGAACATGACGGCCGACGTTCTGTGGTCAGAGGTGATGGGTCGGCCACCTGCCGCAGATGGCCAACGTTCGTGTTGGTCTGTCTTGTCCTGTATTGGTACAGTATCTGAATTATAGAATGTGGTATTGAAAAACTACTCGAGTTTCAAATGTTAAAGCTCATTTCACCCATTTATGCAACATATGAACAAAAGGTTAAAGTTAAATCCAGATGAACGTTGTCTTCCGTTACAGCAATGAGTTACTAGAGGTACAGGTGACTGCTGTCTGAATTGCATTTCATATTTCATATGACCGATGGTATTGTCATGTTTTCCACTGTTTGGGATGGTATTGATATGAATCAGACCATGGTTTACATCACACAGTGTCAAGTAGTGTATTATGTATTTATTTGAGGTGGGTGTTCATGAGTAAAGTACTGATTTTCAAGTTCTTATTGACTACTGATATGTGACTATATTAGGACTAAACATGTTGAAAGCGGAGCTAGTGTATCTGGGTAACTAGAGAGGCGTTCCGTAGGGACATTGTCAATCAGCTTTTCTCTCTTCGTACAGCCTTTACACCGGACCCACGCAACCCGCCAGTTGACCGGTAAGTACCTCACAACAGACTCACCCTTGACCCCAAATCTAAACCCATAGGCACTTGTATAGCTTGGAGGGGATTGGGTAGGTATACATTTCCACATGGCCTATCAGAGGGCAAGCTGAAGCTCGTGGCTATATTGCTTCCATCTAGCCAGGCCTCTTAGTGCTCCATAATTGAATAGGGGTTGATTTTAGGACCCTCTCCACCAATCCTTTCCTCTCTCCACCAATCCTTCCCTAGTCCTTCCTGTCTCCACCAATCCTTCCCTAGTCCTTCCTGTCTCCACCAATCCTTCCCTAGCCGTTCCTCTCTCCACCAATCCTTCCCTAGCCGTTCCTCTCTCCACCAATCCTTCCCTAGTCCTTCCTCTCTCCACCAATCCTTCCCTAGTCCTTCCTCTCTCCACCAACCCTTCCCTAGTCCTTCCTCTCTCTACCAATCCTTTCCTAGTCCTTCCTCTCTCCACCAATCCTTTCCTAGTCCTTCCTCTCTCCACCAATCCTTTCCTAGTCCTTCCTCTCTCCACCAATCCTTCCCTAGTCCTTCCTGTCTCCACCAATCCTTCCCTAGCCGTTCCTCTCTCCACCAATCCTTCCCTAGTCCTTCCTGTCTCCACCAATCCTTCCCTAGTCCTTCCTCTCTCCACCAATCCTTCCCTAGTCCTTCCTGTCTCCACCAATCCTTCCCTAGTCCTTCCTCTCTCCACCAATCCTTCCCTAGTCCTTCCTGTCTCCACCAATCCTTCCCTAGTCCTTCCTCTCTCCACCAATCCTTCCCTAGTCCTTCCTGTCTCCACCAATCCTACCCTAGTCCTTCCTCTCTCCACCAATCCTTCCCTAGTCCTTCCTCTCTCCACCAATCCTTCCCTAGTCCTTCCTCTCTCTACCAATCATTCCCAACCCCTTGCCCTCCCCCAAACAATAATCAGTAACTTAATTTCTCCAAAGGCGGTTCCCCACTGGAGTAAGACGAGATGTTTTTCTCAATGGGGTGAGTTCAGGCGTTTACCTGCTATTGATTTCAGCTGAAGTATATATTAAACGGTCATTAATATTAACATACGCTGAATTTGATCCACAGTTCTATTGATATTAACATGATGTGGTTCATTTCATCCCCAGTCCTACAACGATTACATGAGAGAGTTCCACCACACCATTGGGCCGCCTCCTCCTTGGCAAGGAATGGTATGTTAAAAATGATCTAGAATTTAGATGTTAAATGTTCTAGAATCTACAGCAGATGTTAAATGTTCTAGAATCTAGATGGTAAATGTTCTAGACTCTAGATGGTAAATGTTCTAGAATCTAGATGGTAAATGTTCTAGAATCAAGATGCTACATTTTCTAAAATGTAGATGGTAAATGTTCTAGAATCTAGATGGTAAATGTTCTAGAATCGTTCCTGGGGACCCCCCTGGGTGCACGTTAATGGTTTTTGCCCTAGCGCTACACAGCTGATTCAAATAACCAACTCCTCATCAAGCTTTGATTATTTGAATCAGCTATGTAGTGCTTGGGCAAAAACCAAAACGTGCCCCCAGGACCGAGTTTGGAAAACCTTCATATAGATGACGTCGCCATAGTCTAGGACCGAGGAACGCCGACTGAATAATCTGCTTTCTACTATTTGGTGAGAGGCAGAACCTACAGTGCTATGAAAAAGTATTTGCCCCCTTTCTAATTTTCTCTAATTGTGCATATCTGTGATACTGAATGTTATCAGATCTTCAACCAAAACCTAATATTAGATAAAGGGAACATAAGTGAACAAATAACACAACAATTACATATGTATTTCATAAACAAAGTTATGCAACACCCAATTCCCCTGTGTGAAAAAGTAATTGCCCCCTTACACTCAATAACTGGTTGTGCCACCTTTAGCTGCAATGACTCCAACCAAATGCTTCCTGTAGTTGTTGATCAGTCTCTCACGTCGCTGTGGAGGAATTTTGGCCCACTCTTCCATGCAGAACTGCTTTAACTCAGTGACGTGTGGGTTTTCAAGCATGAACTGCTCGTTTCAAGTCCTGCCACTACATCTCAACTAGGCCATTCCAAAACTTCAAAATTGTTGCTTTTTAGCCATTTAATGTAGACTTGATTTGTGTGTTTTGGATCATTGTCTTGCTGCATGACCCAGCTGCGCTTCAGCTTCAGCTCACAGACGGATGGTCTGACATTCTCCTGTAGAATTCTCTGATACAGAGCAGAATTCATGCTTCCTTCTATTAAGGCAAGTCGTCCAGGTCCTGAGGCAGCAAAGCATCCCCAAACCCTGGGGTGGTTGTCTTGATGATCATCCAGGTGCTTTTTGGCAATCTTGAGTCAACTTTTTGGACGAGATGGGTCCCATTAAGCCTGGCGAAAACCAAACACTGCATTCCACAGTAAGAACATCATACCAAAGGTCAAGCGTGGTGGTGGTGTGATGGTTTGGGGATGCTTTGCTGCCTCAGGACCTGGACGACTTGCCTTAATAGAAGGAACCATGCATCCTGTTTCCATTGATCATCTTTGAGATGTTTCTACATCTTGATTGAAGTCCACCTGTGATAAATTCAATTGATTGGACATGATTTGGAAAGGCACACACCTGTCTAGATAAGGTCCCACAGTTGACAGTGCATGTCAGAGCAAAAACCAAGCAATGAGCTCTGTAGAGCTCAGAGACAGGATTGTGTCGAGGCACAGATCTGGTGGAAGGGTACCAAAAAATATCTGCAGCATTGAAGGTCCCCAAGAACACAGTGGCCTCCATCATTGTTAAATAGAAGAAGTTTGGAACCACCATACACTTCCTAGAGCTTGCCGCTTGGCCAAACTGAGCAATCGGGGGAGAAGGGCCTTGGTCAGGGAGGTGACCAAGAACCCAATGGTCAATCTGACAGAGCTTCAAAGTTCCTCTGTGGAGATGGGAGAAACTTCCAGAAGGACAATCATCTCTGCAGCACTCCACCAATCAGGCCATTATGGTAGAGTGGCCAGATGGAAGCCACTCCTCAGTAAAAGGCATATAACAGCCCGCTTGGAGTTTGCCAAAAGGCACCTAAAGACTCAGACCATGAGAAACAAGATTCTCTGGTCTGATGAAACCAAGACTGAACTCTTTGGCCTGAATGCCAAGCGTCATGTCTGGAGGAAACCTGGCACCATCCCTACGGTGAAGCATGGTGGTGGCAGCATCATGCAGTGGGGATGTTTTTCAGTGGCAGGGACTGGGAGACCAGTCAGGATCGATGGAAAGATGAACGGAGCAAAGTACAGAGAGATCCTTGATGAAAACCTGCTCCAGAGTGCTCAGGACCTCAGACTGGGGCGAAGGGTCACCTTCCAACAGGACAATGACCCTAAGCACATAGCCAAGACAACACAGGGGTGGCTTTGGGACAAGTCTCTGAATGTCCTTGAGTGGCCCAGCCAAAGCCGGTCCCCATCCAACCTGACAGAGCTTGAGAGGATCTGCAGAGAAGAATGGAAGAAACTCCCCAAATGCAGGTGTGCCAAGCTTATAGCGTCATACCCAAGAAGACTTGAGGCTGTAATCGCTTCCTAAAGGTGCTTCAACAAAGTACTGATAAATAAATAAAGTGCACTTCACAAAGTAGATGGCATCATGAGGAAGGAAAATGATGTGGATATATTGAAGCAACATCTCAAGACATCAGTCAGGAAGTTGAAGCTTGGTCGCAAATGGGTCTTCCGAATGGACAAAGACCCCAAGCATACTTCCAAAGTTGTGGCAAATTGGCTTAAGGACAACAAAGTCAAGGTATTGGAGTGGCCATCACAAAGCCCTGACCTCAATCCTATAGAACATTTGTGGGCAGAACTGAAAAAGGGTGTGCGAGCAAGGAGGCCTACAAACCTGACTCAGTTACACCAGCTCTGTCAGGAGGAATGGGCCAAAATTCACCCAATTTATTGTGGGAAGCTTGTGGAAGACTACCCGAAACGTTTGACCCAAGTTAAACAATTTAAAGGCAATGCTACCAAATACTAATTGAGTGTATGTAAACTTCTGACCCACTGGGAATGTGATGAAAGAAATAAAAGCTGAAATAAATCATTCTCTCTACTATTATTCTGACATTTCACATTCTTTATAATAAAGTGGTGATCCTAACTGACCTAAGACGGGGACTTTTTACTAGGATTAAATGTCAGGATTTGTGAAAAACTGAGTTTAAATGTATTTGGCTAAGGTGTACGTAAACTTCCGACTTCAACTGTATAGTGTAGATAGAGCTCTATCCATCCATGTATCTATCTATCTAGGTCATATATATCTACAACTCTCTATGGTTTGATAAAGAAACGTATCAAAAGTGAAATTGCCGTATGCGACCTTCTGTAATAAAATAGGCTGATCTGCTTCTACCTTTTTAATATATTTGTTGTAAATACTTTTGTGAATAGTTAATTAATTCACTGAACTTTATCTTTACACTGGCCACTTTGTCTACCTGTCATTTAGGGGACTTTTTTTTCCCCCCACTGACCTCTTAATTAATTAATTCATTGTATAAATCGAATACGATTTCTTTTCATCTCTAGGAAGTCTCGAGGTTTTGCTCGCCTGAGGTAGAGTATCTTATGATAAGCTGTAGACCACACTATTTACCAAGAGAGTTTTCATCTATATTTTTCATAGCTGTCTATTTACCACCACAAACCAATGCTGGCATTAAGATTGCACTGAATGAGTTGTACAAGGCCATAAATCAACAGGAAAACGCTCATCCAGATGCAGCACTCCTAGTGGCCGGGGACTTTAATGCAGGGAAACTTAAATCCGTTCTACCTAATAATAATAAATAATATGCCATTTAGCAGACGCTTTTATCCAAAGCGACTTACAGTCATGTGTGCATACATTTTTGTGTATGGGTGGTCCCGGGGATCGAACCAACTACCTTGGCGTTACAAGCGCCGTGCTCTACCAGCTGAGCTACAGAGGACCTCTTCTCCTCTCCCCTGCCACTCTTTCCTTAGTGTACAAGAGAAAGTACTGTTTTCTGTCAATATACCTGGTACAGTAATGGTTAATAAACAACTCTTAAGGGGGCCCTATAAAATGGAGATTTTTTTTCCCCAAATTATGTTTTATTTTCCCCAAAGTATGTTTTCATTGGTATGAGATTAGTTCTTTTTTTTTTTTCACTTTCAAAATTAGAATTGTTCATAGAGAAACAACAAAATTGGATTTTCTGAGTCCATGTCAATGTTTAAATCACATTTTTAGCTCTGGAAGAAAACGATCAAATAGATTTTTTTAGTATAATTCCCCTTTAATTGCGCGTCTAGCGTGTGAGGAATGTGCCTTCTAACGTGCCGGTCTAGTGATGGTTCTGTACTGATGCTACTCATTTCACAGCAAAGTTTGCAAATAACAAATAATAGATAATGATATGCTTCCTCACGACATACTTCTGCCAGGTAAGACTACTCTGCAGTTAAAATGTAATTGAGAAGGTTTTGGGGAAAGTATTTCTGTCAACCAACAAGATGGTTATCACATCAACTGGCTACACATGGAGTGATAGACAAACGCCTGCACCACACAGACAGACAGGGGCAATATTGCTGGAAATTAATTGGCAGATATTGTCTTAAGTTTGGCTTTTTAAACCAATAGTGGCTAACCAGGGGTGGGATAATGTCAATGTTGCGTTGATTAGATAGTAGCTGGGAGCTTGCGGTGTCTGATACTTGTGATATTTGTTTATGACAGTTTGCGGTGGAACACGTGAAAATTGCATGTACTTTAAGAATTGTTTGGCGAGCTACACATAAGTGGCCTGCAAACTACTGGTAGCTAGCGATCTACCTGTTGGAGACCCCTGACCTCCACTATGTTTGACCTGTTGGAGACCCCTGACCTCCACTATGTTTGACCTGTTGGAGACCCCTGACCTCCACTATGTTTGACCTGTTGGAGACCCCTGACCTTTTTTCATAGCTGTCTATTTACCACCACAAACCAATGCTGGCATTAAGATTGCACTGAATGAGCTGTATAAGGCCATAAGTCAACAGGAAAACGCTCATCCAGAGGCAGCGCTCCTAGTGGCCGGGGACTTTAATGCAGGGAAACTTAAATCCGTTCTACCTAATTTCTACCAGCATGTTAAATGTGCAACCAGAGGAAAAAAAACTCTAGACCACCTTTACTCCACACACAGAGACGCATACAAAGCTCTCCCTCGCCCTCCATTTGGCAAATCTGACCATAACTCTATCCTCCTGATTCCTGCTTATAAGCAAAAACTAAAGCAGGAAGCACCAGTGACTCGGTTAATAAAAAAGTGGTCAGATGACGCAGATGCTAAGCTACAGGACTGTTTTGCTAGCACAGACTGGAACATGTTCCGGGATTCTTCAGACAGCATTGAGGAGTACACCACATCAGTCACTGGCTTCATCAATAAGTCAATCGATGATGTCGTCCCCACAGTGACCGTACGTACATACCCCAACCAGAAGCCATGGATTATAGGAAACATCCGCACTGAGCTAAAGGGTAGAGCTGCCGCTTTCAAGGAACGGGACTCTAACCCGGACGCTTATAAGAAATCCCGCTATGACCTCCGACGAACCATCAAACAGGCAAAGAGTCAATACAGGACTAAGATTGAATCGTACTACACCGGCTCTGACGCTCGTCGGATGTGGCAGGGCTTGCAAACTATTACAGACTACAAAGGGAAGCACAGCCGCGAGCTGCCCAGTGACACAAGCCTACCAGACGAGCTAAACCACTTCTATGCTCGCTTCGAGGCAAGCAACACTGAAGCATGCATGAGAGCACCAGCTGTTCCGGATGACTATGTGATCACGCTCTCCGTAGCCGATGTGAGTAAGACTTTTAAGCAGGTCAACATTCACAAGGCCGCAGGGCCCAGACGGATTACCAGGACGTGTACTCCGAGCATGTGCTGACCAACTGGCAAGTGTCTTCACTGACATTTTCAACATGTCCCTGACTGAGTCTGTAATACCAACATGTTTCAAGCAGACCACCATAGTCCCCGTGCCCAAGGACTCTAAGATAACCTGCCTAAATGACTACCGACCCGTAGCAGTGACGTCTGTAGCCATGAAGTGCTTTGAAAGGCTGGTCATGGCTCACATCAACAGCATTATCCCAGAAACCCTAGACCCACTCCAATTTGCATACCGCCCCAACAGATCCACAGATGATGCAATCTCTATTGCACTCCACACTGCCCTTTCCCACCTGGACAAGAGGAACACCTACGTGAGAATGCTATTCATTGACTACAGCTCAGCATTCAACACCATAGTGCCCTCTAAGCTCATCACTAAGCTAGGGATCCTGGGACTAAACACCTCCCTCTGCAACTGGATCCTGGACTTCCTGACGGGCCACCCCCAGGTGGTAAGGGTAGGTAACAACACATCTGCCACACTGATCCTCAACACGGGGGCCCCTCAGGGGTGCGTGCTCAGTCCCCTCCTGTACTCCTGTACTCCAACACCATCATTAAGTTTGCCGACGACACAACAGTGGTAGGCCTGATCACCGACAACGATGAGACAGCCTATAGGGAGGAGGTCAGAGACCTGGCCGTGTGGTGCCAGGACAACAACCTCTCCCTCAACGTGACCAAGACAAAGGAGATGATTGTGGACTACAGGAAAAAAAAGAGGACTGAGCACGCCCCCATTCTCATCGACGGGGCTGTAGTGGAACAGGTTGAGAGCTTCAAGTTCCTTGGTGTCCACATCACCAACGAACTATCATGGTCCAAACACACCAAGACAGTCGTGAAGAGGGCACGACAAAGCCTATTCCCCCTCAGGAGACTGAAAAGATTTGGCATGGGTCCTCAGATCCTCAAAAAATTCTACAGCTGCACCATCGAGAGCATCCTGACTGGTTGCATCACCGCCTGGTATGGCAACTGCTTGGCCTCTGACCGCAAGGCACTACAGAGGGTAGTGCGTACGGCCCAGTACATCACTGGGGCCAAGCTTCCTGCCATCCAGGACCTCTATACCAGGCGGTGTCAGAGGAAGGCCCTCAAAATTGTCAAAGACTCCAGCCACCCTAGTCATAGACTGTTCTCTCTGCTACCGCACGGCAAGCGGTACCGGAGTGCCAAGTCTAGGTCCAAAAGACTTCTCAACAGCTTCTACCCCCAAGCCATAAGACTCCTGAACATCTAATCAAATGGCTACCCGGACTATTTGCACTGCCCCCCCACCCCATCCTTTTTACGCTGCTGCTACTCTGTTAATTATTTATGCATAGTCACTTTAACTCTACCCACATGTACATATTACCTCAACTACCTCAACTAGCCGGTGCCCCCGCACATTGACTCTGCAACGGTACCCCCCTGTATATATAGCCTCCCTACTGTCACTTTATTTTACTTCTGCTCTTTTTTTTCTCAACACTTTTTTTTGTTGTTGTTTTATTTTATTTTATTTTTTTGTTAAAAATAAATGCACTGTTGGTTAAGGGCTGTAAGTAAGCATTTCACTGTAATGTCTGCACCTGTTGTATTCGGCGCATGTGGCCAATAAAATTTGATTTGATTTGATAGGCGCAGTACCCTGGGATGGAGCAGCCACCTCACCACCCGTTCTACCAGCACCACCCTCCTCCTCCCCAGGCACACCCCCCCTACGCTGGGCACCACCCTGGGCACCACCCTGTACCACATGACGCCCGCTTCAGGGAGAAGAGAGTCGTCCGCTCCTTCAGCTCCAACCTGGTAAAAGTTCATTTCCTGTTTCCTGTCTGCTCTGATGGGATTACTTGTTTTGAAGAGGATAATTCATCAACTCTTGGAGGGCAGTGGAAGTTGATCAAAACGCAAAAAATAAACAACTGATGAAGAGGTTAAGGACCAAATTACTTTGGTTTTATCAATAAAGAAGCGTTTTTAGTCAACTTCCGCTGCCCTCCAAGAGTTGATGAATTTCCTCTTTACTTCAGTTTGCTACTCATGCACCTTGGTTGGGGAGCGAGATAGCGTCAGTGTTCCCTTTTGCAGTGACTACTTGTTTTACCAGGCAGTCATACGACGTTACTGTGGCAATGTTTCGTTTAGTTACAATACGTTTTGCTCCGTTGAGCCCATACTTGATAGGTTGCCCACCTACCCCAACAGAAGGATTCTGCATCACCCATTCACACATGTTCACTTAAATGTGTTAATGCCCAGAGGGACTATAACTAGTTAGTAGTCTGAACACCACATCTCTCTCCCCCTTCTGCAGCATGACTATGACATGCGGGTGGATGACTTCCTGAGACGGACCCAGGCCGTGGTGACCGGTCGCCGCAGCCGTCCCCGGGAACGAGACCGGCAGAGGGAGCGAGAAAGGCCCCGGGACGCCCGCCGGGACCGGGACCGCGACCGCGACAGGGAGAGAGACAGGATCAGGGACAGGGAGAAGGAGAGGGGGCGCTACAGGAGATAATCAGGGACATATTCAAATCAAACAGCAAGTCCTGCGGTAGTTTATCTTACCGTGTTTCCTTTTTTAAAATAAGCTGTACCTTTTTTTAAGTGATTGTGTAATCTTTTTTACATTATGTTGTCAAGTCATCAGCTCATATCATGAATGCAGTGTAACTGAACAAAGGCAACAACAGGAGAAGTGGTTTGCAGATGTGATGTTAGGTTGTTTTTGTTTCTTAGAACCAGACAGACAGTGATGACTTTAAATGTTTAATGCCATATGGTCTTTATGTTGTTCATAATTGTACATGGTTCAAATGAAGATCTTGCTATTAAAAGGGGTATAATTGAGTTGTACTGAATCTGTTGTATCAAGTCTCTTTTGACTGGCCTTTTGGTTTTAAGCCATTTGTTTTTTTTATAGTGTTTGACCGGTCCAGAAGCAAAAAAGCAATATCGTCTGTCTAGATCTTTCCTTTCTGAAGTTTAAATCCGGACTCCAATCAGTGCTGTAAGGCTTAAAGTTTAGAAAACCTGCAATGATGGAGAGATGTTTGGTCGGGGGAGGGAAAAGGTATCATGTTTTGAAGGTCTGTTTTGTACAACAAAAAGATACTGTATTTTACTACTGTCGTCAGTTGATCAGTAAAAGACTGGTCTGGATTGATTCACTTTATAGAAAACTGGTTTTACTCAGAACTGAGTTTAGATTTTTAAGACCTTTATGAAACCAGTCATAACACCTTTTGAGTGTTGAAGTATCATAAATAGCTTCATATCACATTAAACATGGGTCATAATCAATTATTTATATATACTGATAGGGGGCACTGTGTACAATGCCCCCACCATTGTATAAAATCTTATTTTGTTTTTGCCACATTAATTTTATTACAGACACGTGTAAGAGTGTGAAGTGACCCCAGACACATGTCCAGATAGCTTAGCGGTTAAGAACGTTGGGCCAGTAACAAAGGTTGCTGGTCTGAATCCTGGAGTCGGCTAGGTGGAAAAATCTGCCGTTCTGCCCTTGAGCAAGGCGGTTAACCTCAACAACAACTGCTCCCCAGGGACCGATGACGTGGATTAAGGCAGCCCCCGCACCTCTGATTCAGAGGGGTTGGGTTAAATGCTAAAGACACATTTCAGTTGAATGCATTCAGTTGTACAACTGACTTGGTATCCCCTTTCCCCGTGTGTGACTGTGAGAGCGAAGTCTCTGCAGTGCTGCTCGTGGCAACGTCATTTCGCTGAGTCGACCTTTTTAAAGTATTTTTTTTTTTTGAGATTACGAGATTACTAATGTTACTGACCCCAACACATACCTGTAATTTTGGCCTTGAAACATTTACTTGAAATACTGTAGCGTTCCATTAATTCCTATAGCCGAGTTGGTTGTTTAGCAACAAAACCGACGCGTGCACAACTATGGGGCAAAACAGACAGGTTCGCTTTGATTGTTGACAACATGTAGGCCTTAACAATATTTCGTCTCCGAATGTTTATTGAAAACATAAATACATTTGCACCATGAGCACTTGTCTCTCAAATACATTGTTACAGTTGTTTGTTGGTTAGCACATTTTTTGCCATATTAGCATTGACAGGAAATCAATCAAAACAAGACACGCTATCAAGAACAAGGTAAAACTATCTGAAACGTGCCACCTATGATTCCCCACATGGCAGCTCGTCATTGTTGCTAGCCATCTGACCGTTCAGAATCGTAACAAAGCACGGCTTCCGGCTACATCATTTGAGTGACGTTATTAGCCAATGTGGGGTGCCAATGTGGCCTCTCAGTAACCAATACATAGCATCAGCAATCCAGGGTTTAAATACACTTTGTCGGGGCATGGACTCCTCTATAAGGTGTCAAGCGTTCCGCAGGGATGCTGGCCCACGTTGACTCCAATGCTTCCCACAGTTGGTGTCAATTTGGCTGGATGTCGTTTGGGTGGTGGACCGTTCTTGATACACACGGGAAACTGTCGAGCGTGAAAAACCGAGCAGGTGCGCCTGGCACTTACTACCGTACCCCCTCAAAGCCACTTAAATCTTTTGTATTGCCCATTCACCCTCTGAATGGCACACATTTTTTACATTTTAGTCATTTAGCAGACCCTCTTATACAGAGCGACTTACAGTTAGTGAGTGCATAAACTTTTTTTTTTCATACACAGTCCATGTCTCAAGACTTAAACATCCTTCTTTAACCTGTCTCTTCCCCTTCATCTACACTGATGCAAAATTAAGGCAGTCATACAATTTTAAAAACATTACAATACATTCATAACAGATTTCACAACATACTAAGTGTGTGGCCTCAGGCCCCTACTCCACTACCACATATCTACAACAAAACATCCATGTGTGTGTATAGTGTGTATGTTATCATGTGTGTCTGCATGTGTCTGAGCCTGTGTTTGTGTCTCTTCCCTGCTGTTCCATAAAGTGGATTTTAATCTGTTTTTTCAAATCTGATTCTACTGCTTGCATCAGTTACCTGATGTGGAATAGAGTTCCATGTAGTCATGGCTCTATGTAGTACTGTGCGCCTCCCATAGTCTGTTCTGGACTTGGGGATTGTGAAGAGACCTCTGGTGGCATGTCTTGTGGGGTATGGATGGGTGTCTGAGCTGTGCACTAGCCGTTTAAACAGACAGCTCGGTGCTTTCAACATGTCAATACCTCTCACAAATACAAGTAGTGATGCAGTCAATCTCTCCTCCACTTTGAGCCAGGAGAGACTGACATGCATATTATTAATATTAGTTCTCTGTGTACATCCAAGGGCCAGCCGTGCTGCCCTGTTCTGAGCCAATTGCAATTTTCCTAAATCCCTCTTTGCGGCACCTGACCACACGACTGGGCAGTAGTCCAGGTGAGACAAAACTAGGGCCTGTAGGACCTGCCTTGTTGATAGTGTTGTTAAGAAGGCAGAGCAGCACTTTATTATGGACAGACTTCTCCCCATCTTAGCTACTGTTGTATCAATATGTTTTGACCATGACAGTTTACAATCCAGGGTTACTCCAAGCAGTTTAGTCACCTCAACTTGCTCAATTTCCACATAATTTATTACAAGATTTAGTTGATGTTTAGGGTTTAATGAATGATTTGTCCCAAATACAATGCTTTTAGTTTTTGAAATATTTAGGACTAACTTATTCCCATTCTGAAACTAACTGTAGCTCTTTGTTAAGTGTTAGTAATTTCAGTCGCTGTAGTAGCTGATATGTATAGTGTTGAGTCATCCACATACATAGACACACTGGCTTTACTCAAAGCCAGTGGCATGTCGTTAGTAAAGATTGAAAAAGGTAAGGGGCCTAGACAGCTGCCCTGGGGAATTCCTGATTCTACCTGGATTATGTTGGAGAGGCTTCCATTAAAGAACACCCTCTGTGTTCCGTTAGACAGGTAACTCTTTATCTACAGTCGTGGTCAAAAGTTTTGAGAATGACACAAGTATTGGTCTTCACAAAGTTTACTGCTTCATTGTTTTTAGATATTTTTGTCAGATGTTACTATGGTATACTGAAGTATAATTACAAGCATTCCATAAGTGTCAAAGGCTTTTATTGACAATTACATTAAGTTTATGCAAAGAGTCAATATTTGCAGTGTTGACCCTTCTTTTTCAAGACCTCTGCAATCCGCCCTGGCATGCTGTCAATTAACTTCTGGGCCACATCCTGACTGATGGCAGCCCATTCTTGCATAATCAATGCTTCGAATTTGTGGGGTTTTGTTTGTCCACCCGCCTCTTGAGGATCGACCACAAGTTCTCAATGGGATTAAGGTCTGGGGAGTTTCCTGGCCATGGACCCAAAATGTTGATGTTTTGTTCCCTGAGCCACTTAGTTATCACTTTTGCCTTATGGCAAGGTGCTCCATCATGCTGGAAAAGGCATTGTTCGTCACCAAACTGTTCTTGGATGGTTGGGAGAAGTTGCTCTCGGAGGATGTGTTGGTACCATTCTTTATTCATGGCTGTGTTCTTAGGCAAAATTGTGAGTGAGCCCACTCCCTTGGCTGAGAAGCAACCCCACACATGAATGGTCTCAGGATGCTTTACTGTTGGCATGACACAGGACTGATGGTAGCGATCACCTTGTCTTCTCCGGACAAGCTTTTTTCCGGATGCCCCAAACAATCGGAAAGGGGATTCATCAGAGAAAATGACTTTACCCCAGTCCTCAGCAGTCCAATCCCTGTACCTTTTGCAGAATATCAGTTTGTCCCTGATGTTTTTCCTGGAGAGAAGTGGCTTCCTCGCTGCCCTTCTTGACACCAGGCCATCCTCCAAAGGTCTTCGCCTCACTGTGCGTGCAGATGCACTCACACCTGCCTGCTGTCATTCCTGAGCAAGCTCTGCACTGGTGGTGCCCCGATCCTGCAGCTGAATCAACTTTAGGCGACGGTCCTGGCGCTTGCTGGACTTTCTTGGGCGCCCTGAAGCCTTCTTCACAACAATTGAACCTCTCTCCTTGAAGTTCTTGATGATCCGATAAATGGTTGATTTAAGTGCAATCTTACTAGCAGCAATATCCTTGCCTGTGAAGCCCTTTTTGTGCAAAGCAATGATGACGGCACGTGTTTCCTTGTAGGTAACCATGGTTAACAGAGGAAGAAAAATGATTTCAAGCACCACCCTCCTTTTAAAGCTTCCAGTCTGTTATTCTAACTCAATCAGCATGACAGAGTGATCTCCAGCCTTGTCCTCGTCAACACTATCACCTGTGTTAACGAGAGAATCACTGACATGATGGCAGCTGGTCCTTTTATGGCAGGGCTGAAATGCAGTGGAATTGGTTTTTGGGGGATTAAGTTCATTTTCATTGCAAATAGGGACTTTGCAATTAATTGCAATTAATCTGATCACTCTTCATGACATTCTGGAGTATATGCAAATTGCCATCATAAAAACTGAGGCAGCAGACTTTGTGAAAATTAATATTTGTGTCATTCTCAAAACTTTTGACCACGACTGTACAATATAGCAGGGCGTGTAAA